CACACACTACATACACACTACATACAAACACTTCACACACTACATACACACACTACATACACACACTACACACACTACATACACACACTACACACACTACATACACACTACACACACTACATACACACACTACACACACTACATACACACTACACACACTACATACACACACTACATACACACTACACACACTACACACACTACATACACACACTACATACACACACTACATACACACACTACACACACTACATACACACAGTACACACACTACATACACACACTACACACACTACATACACACTACACACACTACATACACACACTACATACACACTACACACACTACACACACTACACACACTACATACACACACTACATACACACACTACACACACTACATACACACAGTACACACACTACATACACACACTACACACACTACATACACTACATACACACACTACATACACACACTACACACACTACATACACACACTACACACACTACATACACACACTACATACACACACTACATACACACAGTACACACACTACATACACACACTACACACACTACATACACACACTACATACACACACTACACACACTACATACACACAGTACACACACTACACACACTACATACACACACTACATACACACACTACATACACACACTACACACACTACATACACACAGTACACACACTACATACACACACTACACACACTACATACACACTACACACACTACATACACACACTACATACACACTACACACACTACACACACTACATACACACACTACATACACACACTACACACACTACATACACACAGTACACACACTACATACACACACTACATACACTACATACACACACTACATACACACACTACACACACTACATACACACACTACACACACTACATACACACACTACATACACACACTACACACACTACATACACACACTACATACACTACATACACACACTACATACACACACTACACACACTACATACACACACTACACACACTACATACACACACTACATACACTACATACACACACTACATACACACACTACACACACTACACACACTATATACACACACTACACACACTACATACACACACCGCATGGATACCCCTCCACCAACCCCCCCCCCACCAATCCCACCCAACCCCCCCACCACCCCGAACCAAGCAGCTCAAAGCCGCAGGTGGCGCGCCCTGCACCGTGGCCAGCAGAGGGCGGTGCAGGCCGCGCGGAGCGACACTCGCCCCGCCCACCCCCGTAACGTCACGGGGAGTGGGCGGGGCGACACATTCGCCCCGCCTACCATTACACGTCACGGGGAGGGGGGTGGGGGGAGGTCTCTCGCCCCGTGGTCGCCGGGTACGACGTTTTACACCCGCCACCGCGCGGAGGAGGAGCTCTCTCCATCCCTGTTGAAGAGCTACTACAGAGTTGTCCAGAGCTCGCCCCTGGACCAGTGGTCTACACGATACACTACACTATACACTGCACTATACACTACACACTACACTACACACTACACTATACACTACACTATACACTACTACACTAGTATACACTACACTATACACTACACTATACACTACACTATACACCACTATACACTCCACTATACACTACTACACTATACACTAGTATACACTACACTATACACTACACACTACACGATACACTACACTACACACTACACTATACACTACTATACACTACACTATACACTACACTATACACTACATTATACACTACTATACACTACACTACACACTACACTACACACTACTATACACTACACTACACAATACACTAGTATACACTATACACTACTATACACTACACTATACTACACACTACACTACACGATACACTACACTATACACTACACTATACACTACTATACACTACACTATACACTACTATACACTACACTATACACTACACTACACACTACACTACTATACACTACACTACTATACACTACACTGTACACTACTACACTACACTACAAACTACACTATACACTACTGCACTATACACTACACTATACACTACTGCACTATACACAACACTATACACCGCACTATACACTACACTATAGACTACACTATATACTATACACTACACTATACACTACTATACACTACACTACACACTATACTACACACTACACTATACACTACACTATACTACACACTACACTATACACTACATACTACACTATATACTACACTATACACTACACTGTACACTACTATACACTACACTATACACTACACTATACACTACACTATACACTGCACTATACACTAATATACACTACACTATACACTAAACTATACACTACACTACTATACACTACACTATACACTGCACTATACACTGCACTATACACTATACTATACACTACACTATACACTGCACTATATACTACACTACTATACACTACACTATACACTACACTATACTATACACTACACTATACACTACACTATACACTACACTATACACGACACACTACACTATACTTCACACTACACAATATACGACACTATATACTACACTGTACACTACTATACACTACACTATACACTACTACACTATACACTACTACACTATACACTACACTATACACTACACCCTACACTACACCCTACACTATACACTAATATACACTATACTATACACTAATATACACTACACTATACACTACACTATACACTACACTATACACTACACTAATATACACTCACTCACTCACCCACTCACTCACTCACCCACTCACTCAGTCACTCACTTACTCACCCACTCACTCACCCATTCACTCATTAACCCACTCACTCACTCACCCACTCACTCACTCACCCACTCACTCACCACTCACCCAATCACTCACCCACTCACTCACTCACCCACTCACTCACTTACTCACCCACCCACTCACCCACTAACCCACTCACTCACCCATTGCTATTGATGTCCCCAGGGTCTGGAATGCTATTGCCAATAAACTGCAACTTGGATCACTACCTATGAGATCTTCACTCAAAACTGCTCTAGAGGAGTTGTACAACCCTAGCTGCCACTGCTATTCAGCGGCCTAAAATATGGCTCTAGATTTTGGTGTTAGAATTTATTTATGTAGTTTATTGTTAAAAATTCGGTCACAGTCCCTATGATCACGTACATTGGATTTATGGCTTTTATTTTGGTGATTTCGAAAACGTTTTTTTTTGTTTTGGCCATGTCTTTGTTTATTGTAGTACGGAGTTAGACTGATGGCCTTAATCTTAGTTGTCTTGTGGTTGTTGTTGTTGTTATTTGACTTGCATCCCACTGGGATTTTTGCACACAGCGTTGGTGTACGGTGCTATTTCAGGAATATTTTTGATATTTTTTTTCTGTATTTTCTGTTTACACAGTCACACAAGGTCACTTTAAGATGCTTTCTTGTTCATGTTTTTTGTTTGTTGCGGTTGCACCTGATTCAAGAGCCGAATGGCTCACAGGGCTATACCAAATAAATGAAACTATGAACTAACTATGAACTATGAACTCACTCACTCACCCACTCACTCACTCACCCATTCACTCACTCACACACCCACCGACTCACCCACTCACTCACTCACCCACCTACTCACTCACTCACCACTCACCCAATCACTACCCACTCACTCACTCACCCACTCACTCACTTACTCACCCACCCACTCACCCACTAACCCACTCACTCACTCACCCACTCACTCACCAACCCACTCACCCACTCACTCACTCACTCACCCACTCACTCACTCACTCACCCACTCATTCACTAACCCACTCACTCACCACTCACTCACCCACTCATTCACTCACTCACCCACTCACTCACCAACTCACTCACCAACTCACTCACTCACCCACTCACCCACTCACCAACTCACTCACTCACCCACTCACTCACTCACCACTCACCCACTCACTCACTCACTCACCACTCACCCAATCACTACCCACTCACTCACTCACCAACTCACTCACTTACTCACCCACCCACTCAACCACTCACTCACTAACCCACTCACTCACTCACTCACCCACTCACCCACTCACTCACTCACTCACCCACTCACCAACTCACTCACTCACTCACCCACTCACCCACTCACCCACTCACCAACTCACTCACCCACTCACTCACTCACTCACCACTCACCCACTCACTCACTCACCACTCACCCAATCACTACCCACTCACTCACTCACCCACTCACTCACTTACTCACCCACTCACTCACCCACTCACTCACTAACCCACTCACTCACTCACCCACTCACTCACCAACCCACTCACCCACTCAATCACTCACCCACTCACTCACTCACCCACTCACTCACCCACTCACCACTCACTCACTCACTCACCCACTCACTCACTCACTCACCCACTCACACACTCACTCACCCACTCACCAACTCACTCACTCACTCACCCACTCACTCACTCACCACTCACCCACTCACTCACCACTCACCCAATCACTACCCACTCACTCACTCACCCACTCACTCACTTACTCACCCACCCACTCACCCACTCACTCACTAACCCACTCACTCACCCACTCACTCACTCACTCACCCACTCACTCACTCACCCACTCACCCACTTACTCACCCACTCACTCACCCATTCACTCACTCACCCACTCACCAACTCACCCACTCACTCACCACTCACTCACCCACTCACCAACTCACTCACTCACCCACTCACTCACCACTCACTCACCCACTCACTCACCCACTCACTCACTCACTCACCCACTCACTCACCCACTCACTCACCGACTCACCCACTCACCAACTCACTCACCCACTTACTCACCCACTCACTCACCCATTCACTCACCTACTCACTCACCCACTCACTCACCGACTCACCCACTCACCAACTCACTCACTCACCCGTGAGGCCTCCATGTTCTTGATCCACTCCGTGGCCTGTCCTTGTGGGTCGATCATCAGCGGCCAACTGTGGAGCCGGAAGGGAGCATGGGTTGGTGGAAGAGGTCAGTCAACACGACACATGCACGTGTAGTGTGTGTGTGGTGTGTGGTGTGTAGTGTGTGTAGTGTGTGTAGTGTGTGTATGTAGTGTGTGGTGTGTGTAGTGTGTGTAGTGTGTGTAGTGTGTGTAGTGTGTGTGTGGTGTGTGTGTAGTGTGTGTAGTGTGTGTGTAGTGTGTGTGTAGTGTGTGGTGTGTGTAGTGTGTGTGGTGTGTGTGGTGTGTGTGTGTAGTGTGTAGTGTCTGTAGTGTGTGTGTGTAGTGTGTGTAGTGTGTGTAGTGTGTGGTGTGTGTAGTGTGTGTAGTGTATATGTAGTGTGTGTGTAGTGTGTGTATGTAGTGTGTATGTAGTGTGTGTAGTGTGTGTATGTAGTGTGTGTGTGTAGTGTGTGTATGTAGTGTGTGTGTGTAGTGTGTGTAGTGTGTGTATGTAGTGTGTGTGTAGTGTGTGTGTAGTGTGTGTGTAGTGTGTGTAGTGTATGTAGTGTGTGTGTAGTGTGTGTAGTGTGTGTAGTGTGTATGTAGTGTGTGTGTAGTGTGTGTATGTAGTGTGTATGTAGTGTGTGTGTAGTGTGTATGTAGTGTGTGTATGTAGTGTGTGTAGTGTGTGTAGTGTGTGTGGTGTGTGTAGTGTGTGTGGTGTGTGTGGTGTGTGTAGTGTGTGTGGTGTGTGTAGTGTGTGTGGTGTGTGTAGTGTGTGCAATGTGTGGTGTGTGTGGTGTGTGTAGTGTGTGGTGTGTGTAGTGTGTGTGGTGTGTGTAGTGTGTGCAGTGTGTGTGTAGTGTGTGTCGTGTGTAGTGTGTGTAGTGTATGTGGTGTGTGTAGTGTGTGCAGTGTGTAGTGTGTGTAGTGTGTGTAGTGTATGTGGTGTGTGTAGTGTGTGTGGTGTGCGTAGTGTGTGCAGTGTGTGGTGTGTGTGGTGTGTGTAGTGTGTGTGGTGTGTGTAGTGTGTGTAGTGTGTGGTGTGTGTAGTGTGTGGTGTGTGTAGTGTGTATGGTGTGTGTGGTGTTTGTGTAGTGTGTGTAGTGTGTGTAGGGTGTGTGATGTGTGTAGTGTGTGGTGTGTGTGGTGTGTGTGGTGTGTGTAGTGTGTGGTGTGTATGGTGTGTGTAGTGTGGTGTGTGTATGTGTAGTGTGTGTAGTGTGGTGTATGTGGTGTGTGTAGTCTGTAGTGTGTGTAGTGTGTGGTGTGTATGTGTAGTGTGTGTGTGTGGTGTGTGAGTGGTATAAGTGTGTGTGTGGTGTGTGAGTGGTGTGTGTAGTGTGTGGTGTGTGTGTAGTGTGTGTAGTGTGTGGTGTGTGTAGTGTGTGGTGTGTGTGTGGTGTGTGTGGTGTTTGTGTAGTGTGTGTAGTGTGTGTGATGTGTGTAGTGTGTGGTGTGTGTGGTGTGTGTAGTGTGTGGTGTGTATGGTGTGTGTAGTGTGGTGTGTGTATGTGTAGTGTGTGTAGTGTGGTGTATGTGGTGTGTGTAGTCTGTAGTGTGTGTAGTGTGTGGTGTGTGTGTGTGTGTAGTGTGTGTGTGTGTGTGTGGTGTGTGAGTGGTATAAGTGTGTGTGTGGTGTGTGAGTGGTGTGTGAGTGGTGTGTGTAGTGTGTGGTGTGTGTGTAGTGTGTGTGTGTGGTGTGTGTGTGTAGTGTGTGTGGTGTGTGTGGTGTGTGTGTGTGTGTGGTGTGTGTAGTGTGTGGTGTGTGTAGTGTGTGTAGTGTGTGGTGTGTGTAGTGTGTGGTGTGTGTGTGGTGTGTGTGTAGTGTGTGTAGTGTGTGTGATGTGTGTAGTGTGTGGTGTGTGTGGTGTGTGTAGTGTGTGGTGTGTATGGTGTGTGTAGTGTGGTGTGTGTATGTGTAGTGTGTGTAGTGTGGTGTATGTGGTGTGTGTAGTCTGTAGTGTGTGTAGTGTGTGGTGTGTGTGTGTAGTGTGTGTGTGTGGTGTGTGAGTGGTATAAGTGTGTGTGGTGTGTGAGTGGTGTGTGTACTGTGTGGTGTGTGTGTAGTGTGTGTGTGTAGTGTGTGTGTGTGTGGTGTGTGTGGTGTGTGTGTAGTGTGTGTGTGTGGTGTGTGTGTGTGTAGTGTGTGTGTGTGTGTGGTGTGTGAGTGGTATAAGTGTGTGTGTGGTGTGTGAGTGGTGTGTGAGTGGTGTGTGTAGTGTGTGGTGTGTGTGTAGTGTGTGTAGTGTGTGGTGTGTGTAGTGTGTGGTGTGTGTGTGGTGTGTGTGGTGTTTGTGTAGTATGTGTAGTGTGTGTGATGTGTGTAGTGTGTGGTGTGTGTGGTGTGTGTGGTGTGTGTAGTGTGTGGTGTGTATGGTGTGTGTAGTGTGGTGTGTGTATGTGTAGTGTGTGTAGTGTGGTGTATGTGGTGTGTGTAGTCTGTAGTGTGTGTAGTGTGTGGTGTGTGTGTGTGTGTAGTGTGTGTGTGTGTGGTGTGTGAGTGGTATAAGTGTGTGTGTGGTGTGTGAGTGGTGTGTGAGTGGTGTGTGTAGTGTGTGGTGTGTGTGTAGTGTGTGTGTGTGGTGTGTGTGTGTAGTGTGTGTGGTGTGTGTGGTGTGTGTGTGTGGTGTGTGTAGTGTGTGGTGTGTGTAGTGTGTGTAGTGTGTGGTGTGTGTAGTGTGTGGTGTGTGTGTGGTGTGTGTGGTGTTTGTGTAGTGTGTGTAGTGTGTGTGATGTGTGTAGTGTGTGGTGTGTGTGGTGTGTGTAGTGTGTGGTGTGTATGGTGTGTGTAGTGTGGTGTGTGTATGTGTAGTGTGTGTAGTGTGGTGTATGTGGTGTGTGTAGTCTGTAGTGTGTGTAGTGTGTGGTGTGTGTGTGTAGTGTGTGTGTGTGGTGTGTGAGTGGTATAAGTGTGTGTGGTGTGTGAGTGGTGTGTGTACTGTGTGTGTGTGGTGTGTGTGTAGTGTGTGTGTGGTGTGTGTGTGTGTGGTGTGTGTGTGTGGTGTGTGTGTGTGGTGTGTGTGTGCGGTGTTTGTTGTGTTACGGAGGCTCTGGTGTACGCGGTTTGCATCAAGGTCCGCTCAGACTGAAATGAGCATTGTGAGCGGTACGAGGGGAAAAGGTGGGGAGGGAGAGGTTTGAGCTTTCGAGCATGGGGTAATAATGGTGCGGTGTGGTGCAGTGTGGTGCAGTGTGGTATGGTGCGGTGTGGTGTGGTATGGTGCGGTGTGGCGCGGTGAAGCGGTGAAGCGTTGAAGCAGCGGTGAAGCGTTGAAGCGGTGAAGCGTTGAAGTGGAGCAGCGGTGAAGCGTTGAAGCGGTGAAGCGTTGAAGCGTTTAAGCAGCGGTGAAGCGTTGAAGCAGCGGTGAAACGGTGAAGCGGTGAAGCGGTGAAGCGTTGAAGCGTTGAAACAGCGGTGAAACGGTGAAGCGGTGAAGCAGTAAAGCGTTGAAGCGGTGAAGCAGCGGTGAAGCGTTGAAGCAGCGGTGAAGCGGTGAAGCGTTGAAGCGGTGAAGCGGTGAAGCAGCGGTGAAGCGTTGAAGCAGCGGTGAAGCGTTGAAGCGGTGAAGCGTTGAAGCAGCGGTGAAGCGTTGAAGCGTTGAAGCGGCGAAGCGTTGAAGCAGCGAAGTGTTGAAGCGGTGAAGCGTTGAAGTAGCGGTGAAGCGGTGAAGCGGTGAAGCGTTGAAGTGGAGCAGCGGTGAAGCGTTGAAGCGTTGAAGCAGCGTTGAAGCGGTGAAGCGGTGAAGCAGCGGCGAAGCGTTGAAGCGGTGAAGTGTTGAAGCTGTGAAGCGGTGAAGCGTTGAAGCGGTGAAGCGGTGAAGCGGTGAAGCGTTGAAGCGGTGAAGCAGCGGTGAAGCGTTGAAGCAGTGGTGAAGCGGTGAAGCGTTGAAGCGGTGAAGCGTTGAAGCAGTGAAGCAGCGGTGAAGCGTTGAAGCAGCGGTGAAGCGTTGAAGCGGTGAAGCGTTGAAGCGTTGAAGCAGCGGTGAAGCAGCGAAGCGGTGAAGCGTTGAAGCGGCGAAGCGTTGAAGCGTTGAAGCGGTGAAGCGTTGAAGCGTTGAAGTGGAGCAGCGGTGAAGCGTTGAAGTGTTGAAGCAGCGGTGAAGCGGTGAAGCGGTGAAGCGGAGCAGCGTCGAAGCGGAGCAGCGGAGCAGCGGTGAAGCGTCGAAGCGGAGAAGCGTTGAAGCGGAGCAGCGTTGAAGCAGCGTCGAAGCGAAAAGTTACCGTGCGCCCCGCGTCACGATGATGCCGTTCTCGGTGGAGAAGCTGTCAGAGGGCAGCCCCTGCCGGCTCCACTCCCGCGCCGTCGTCGGGCTCGACAGAAACGCCGAGAAGCTGAACGCCGGCGAGCACGGCACACCCAGCTCCCGCATCTACCACCCACCGCGGAGTCAACCGCAGAGTCAACCACAGAGTCAGCCGCAGAGTCAGCTATGGAGTCAGCTACGGAGTCAGCTACAGAATCAACCACGTGGTTAGCTACGGAGTCAGCCGGAGAGTCGACCACGTGGTCGACCACAGAGTCAACCACAGAGTCAACCACAGAGTCAACCACGGAGTTAGCTAGAGTCAACCACGGAGTTAGCTACAGAGTCAACCACAGAGTCAACCACGGAGTCAGCTACAGAGTCAACCACGGAGTTAGCTATAGAGTCAACCACAGAGTCAGCTACAGAGTCAACCACAGAGTCAACCACGGAGTTAGCTACAGAGTCAACCACAGAGTCAATCACAGAGTCAGCTACAGAGTCAACCACAGAGTCAACCACAGAGTCAACCACAGAGTCAACCACAGAGTTAGCCACAGAGTCAACCACGGAGTCAACCACAGAGTCAGCTACAGAGTCAACCACAGAGTCAACCATAGAGCTAGCCACAGAGTCGACCACGTGGTCGACCACGGAGTCAGCCACAGAGTCAGCCGCAGAGTCAACCACGGAGTTAGCTACAGAGTCAACCACAGAGTCAACCACGGGGTTAGCTACAGAGTCAACCACAGAGTCAACCACGGAGTTAGCTACAGAGTCAACCACATAGTCAACCACAGAGTCACCCACGGAGTCAACCACGGAGTCAACCACGGAGTCAACCACAGAGTCAACCACGGAGTTAGCTACAGAGTCAGCTACAGAGTCAACCGCAGAGTCAACCACGGAGTCAACCACATAGTCAACCACGGAGTTAGCCGCAGAGTCAACCACGGATTCAGCTACAGAGTCACCCACGGAGTCAACCACAGAGTCAACCACAGAGTCAACCACAGAGTCAACCACGGAGTTAGCCGCAGAGTCACCCACGGAGTCAGCTACAGAGTCACCCACGGAGTCAGCTACAGAGTCAACCACAGAGTCAACCACGGGGTTAGCTACGGAGTCAGCCACTCTGTAACCAGGGTGACCAGGGTGACGAGTGAGACCACGTGACCCAGGTGACGAGGTTGACCAGGGTGACCAGGGTGACCAGGGTGACCAGGGTGACGAGTGTAACCAGGGTGACCAGGGTGACGAGGTTGACCAGGTTGACCAGGGTGACGAGTGTAACCAGGGTGACCAGGGTGACCAGGGTGACCAGGGTGACCAGGGTGACCAGGGTGACGAGGTTGCCCAGGGTGACCAGGGTGACCAGGGTGAGGAGTGTAACCAGGGTGACCAGGGTGACGAGTGTAACCAGGGTGACCAGGGTGACGAGTGTAACCAGGGTGACCAGGGTGACGAGTGTAACTAGGGTGACCAGGGTGACGAGGTTGCCCAGGGTGACCAGGGTGACCAGGGTGACGAGTGTAACCAGGGTGACCAGGGTGACGAGTGTAACCAGGGTGACCAGGGTGACGAGGTTGCCCAGGGTGACCAGGGTGACGAGTGTAACCAGGGTGACCAGGGTGACGAGGTTGCCCAGGGTGACCAGGGTGACGAGTGTAACCAGGGTGACCAGGGTGACGAGTGTAACCAGGGTGACCAGGGTGACGAGGTTGCCCAGGGTGACCAGGGTGACCAGGGTGACGAGTGTAACCAGGGTGACCAGGGCACCTGCTTCATCCAGATGTTGGAGACGATTTGTTCGCGGTAGTTGGACAGGAAGGGCCCCATGTATGAGAGGAAAGCGGCCGCCATGAGGCAGTCGCCCACCACGAAGCCCAAGTCCACCTCCAGGCCCTGCGACAAAGATCACCGCACCGTGTCGCCTTCACAGCGTAGCGCTAACCACTACTACACTACCGCTCCCCACACACACAACAACAACAACAACCGCCATTCGCCACTAAGTGGCGGTGACGTCACCACGACGCTTGTGCCAGGCTATGTGCACCCTGAGGCCACGTGAAGTGTCGAACGCCCGCTGGCAGGAGGTCACGGGGCAGACCCAGGTGCCACGGGTCGACTGACTGAGATGACTGGCTGATGCACCACCTGTGCCCCCTACTGTGCCAACCTGCTGTGCTTTAGCCACCCGGCGCTCCGCTCGCTGTTGTGAGCGTTGCTCCTCCGCCCTCCGTTGTTGTTGGAGGGCGACTGCCTCCAACTGCCCAGTAGCATCCTTCACGAGCCTCCTCCACAGAGGCCGATCTTGACACCGCTGGTACCAGTCATCGGCAAGTCCACTCAGCTCCATGTCCTCCTGTACCACATCACTCCATCTCTTCTCTAGCCCGTGCCGCGCCCGCTTAGCCCCCTCAATCCGGCCAAACAAAAGCTGTTTCGGCATGCGGTGGCTGGGCATGCGGGCTACATGACCCAGCCATCGCAGCCTTGCCTGCCGGAGGAGCTCACCGATGGGACCCTGCCCAGATCTTTCAAGGATTTGTGAGCTCCTCACACAATCCAGTCTGGTTAAACCCAGGATGGATCGTAGGCAGGCCAGCCTAAATGTTTCTAACCGGCGAAGATGTTCCATTAGGGGGGTCCACGTTTCGCAAGCGTAGAGAAGGGAGGGAATGACCGTGGCCGAGAAGACCTGAAGCTTAGTGCGGAGCGACAGACCAGGTAGCTTCCACACAGCGTTACGCAACCGATGAAAAGTTATTGCCGCTCGACTGATTCGGAGTGAGACCTCTGCTGTTAAACTGGAGCCAGTCATAAGCACACTGCCCAGGTATGGGAAACTCTCCACTCTCTCCACAACTGCCCCATCACCGATTGGGAGTTGTGGGGGTGGAGTGTCCGATGGTACAAAATACCCAGGCAGGTGCTTAGTTTTGGTGGGGCTGATGGTAAGGCCCCACCTCTTAGTGGCACGCTCCAGTCTCAGCAGCAGCGTCTCCAACTCCTCCTCTGACTGAGCAGCTATTACCAAGTCATCAGCATACATAACGTGGTTGAGCAATAGGGAGCCATCCCTTGACCGCACCCGGGCATCGATTAGCCTCCCATTATATCTGTACCATATGGAGATTCCCCCGGTACAGCTATTGAAGGCTTCACGAACTACGTGGTCAAAATAGATGTTAAATAATGTGGGAGCCAGAGGACATCCCTGTCGCACCCCAAGGTGTACAGGGAATGGCTCTGACTCCCGGCCACGTAGTTTTACCCGGGCCCGCTCACCATCATGAAGGTCCTTAATGATCGTGAGCAGAGGGTCAGGTACTCCAAAAGCACGAAGAACGACCCAGAGCCCAGGCCTACTGATGGTATCATAGGCCTTGACCAGGTCAATAAAGCAGAGATGTAGGTCTTGTTGGAATTCCCTACACCTCTGCTGTAGCAGACGGACAGAAAATATGGCATCTGTGCAGGACCGCCCTTTCCTGAAACCACATTGGGGCTCCGCAAGCCTCTCCTCAGCGTGCCTGGCAAGGCGATGCTGAATAATCCTTGCCAGGACCTTTCCCGGCACACTGAGGAGTGAGATGCCCCTGTAGTTGTTACAGTCTGTGCGGTCCCCCTTCTTAAAAAGGGGGACCACCAGGGCATCCTTCCAATCCTGCGGAACCCGTCCAGTGGTCCAGACTGTTGTTATGATGTCATATAGGGCAGTCTGTGCACAAACGCCACCCTCCCTCAGCATTTCGCTTGGGAGATCATCTCTGCCCGCTGCCTTTCCTGGTCTCAGACTCCGGATCGCCTTCAATACTTCCTCAGCAGATGGCACCTCAGCCAGCCACTCACAGGGGGTGACTTCATCCAATATTTGAGGCACCGCAGCCTCAGCAGGGTCATCCTCACTTTGTGCCACGATGTTTTCCTGGCTGAGGGATTTTCCCTCCCCCAGGACCTCACAGAAATGCTCAGCAAATCTGCGAACCTGTTCCTGGGGGTCGGAAATTGGATCACCGTTTTTTCCCCTAATGATGGTAATAGGTGTGGCGCTGCAGGTTACTTTTTTGATAGAGTTAAATAGAGATTTGTGATCACGGGCCACTGAGGCAGACTCCATCTCCTCAGCAACCCGCGACCACCACCCATCCTTGCAGCGCCTCACGGCTCTCCGAACCTCTGAGCGAAGGCTGCGGTAAGCCCCCTCATTCTCTGACGTGGGATTCTGTAGCCGATGACAGTGGGCCTGTCGCTTTTTCTCAACCATCGTGAACAACTTCTCTGTCATCCAGGGTGTCTGGGGAGGTCTGGACCGCGTACCCAAAGCAGCCATTGCAGCTGCATGAGTCACAGTCCTAAACCTCGCCCATTTACCCTCGACATCAGGAGGAGTCGGGGACGATACCAATCCCAGCCGCAAGCGATGATGAAATTCTCGCTTGCAACACACACACACACATACACACATACATACACACACACATACACACAGACACACACATACACACACATACATACACAGACACACACATACACACACACAGACACACACAGACACCAACACATACACACACAGACACACACATACACACACATACACACATACATACACACACACATACACACACACACACACATATACACACAGACACACACAGACACACACATACACACACACACATACACACATATACACACATACACACACACACATACACACACACATACACACACACGTACACACACACACACAGACACACCCACACACATACACACACACATACACACGTACACACAGACACCCACACACATACACACACATACACACACACACATACACACATACACACACACATACACACACACATACACACACACAGACACACACAGACACACACAGACACACAGACACACATACACACCCACACATACACACACATACAGACACACACGTACACACCCACACATACACACACACACACACGTACACATGTACACACACATACACACTGACACACACACTCACACACACACCTACACTTACACACACTCACACGCTCACACACCCACACATACGCACAGACACACACACTCACACACACACCTACACTTACACACACTCACACGCTCACACACGCTCACACTCCCACACATATGCACAGACACACACACGTGCACACACACCTACACTTACACACACTCACACGCTCACACACGCTCACACACCCACACATACGCTCACACACCCACACATACGCACAGACACACACACGTGCACACACACCTACACTTACACACACTCACACGCTCACACACCCACACATACGCACAGACACACACACGTGCACACATATTGTCCGGGGTGGTGGCCCAAAAGTTAGGACACATCGGGTTGTCATGTTTTGTTTTAACCGCTGGCATGAAAACAGTTTAGTCAGCACCTTGACCCTCTGTCATCACGAGTAGCTATTATTCATTTTAAGATGTTGATTCAAAAATTGGAAAAATAAATTTTACCGGAGGTGAAACTCAAGTTGATGGATTACACCGGTATCACCACACTGTGGTGCGCTACTACACCGCACCGCATCACACCGCAAAACCGCACCGCGTCACCGCACTGCGTTACCGCATCACCGCACTGCGTTAGCACACTGCATCACCGCGTCACCGCATCACTGCACCGCGTCACCGCATCACCGCATCACCGCATCAACGCGCCACACCACAGCGGTACCACACCGCATCTCCACACTGCCCCGCACCACCGCATCACCACATCACCGCACCACCGCATTACCGCACCACCGCATCACCGCATCACCGCATCGCCGCGCCCACCTGCACGGTGAGCTCCCAGCGTGCCTTCTCCCCGGCGAGGCCGGCCACCAGGGCGCCGGCACGCTCCAACTTCACCTCCATCTCCTCGGCGCTGCGCCGGAGCTCCTCCTTCTGTGCCAGCTTCTCGTCGTACTGCCGCTTGAGCGTCTCCATGCGCTCCGTCAACTACCGGGCGAGCGGGCGGGTTGGGCAGGTGGGTGAGTGGGTGAGTGGGTGAGTGGGCAGGTGGGTGAGTGGGCGAGTAGGCAGGTGGGTGAGTAGGCAGGTGGGTGAGTGGGTGAGTGGGTGAGTGGGTGAGTGAGTGAGTGGGCAGGTGGGTGAGTGGGCGAGTGGGTGAGTGGGTGAGTAGGCAGGTGGGTGAGTGGGTGAGTGGGCAGGTGGGTGAGTGAGTGAGTGAGTGGGCAGGTGGGCGAGTGGGCGAGTAAGCGGGTGGGCAGGTGGGTGAGTGGGCGGACAGGTGGGTGAGTGGGCGAGTAGGCAGGTGGGTGAGTGGGTGAGTGGGCAAGTGGGTGAGTGGGCGAGTAAGTGGGCGAGCGGGTGGGCAGGTAGGCGAGTGGGCGGACAGGTGGGTGAGTGTGTGGGTGGGCAGGTGGGTGAGTGGGCGAGTAGGCAGGTGGGTGAGTGAGTGAGTGGGCAGGTGGGTGAGTGAGTGAGTGAGTAGGCAAGTGGGTGAGTGGGTGAGTGGGTGAGTGGGCAGGTGGGTGAGTGGGTGAGTAAGTGGGCGAGCAGGGAGGCAGGTGGGTGAGTGGGTGAGTGGGTGAGTAGGTGAGTGGGTGAGTAGGCAGGTGGGTGAGTGGGTGAGTAGGCAGGCGGGTGAGTGGGTGAGTAGGCAGGCGGGTGAGTGGGTGAGTGGGCAGGTGGGTGAGTGAGTGAGTGGGCAGGTGGGTGAGTGAGTGAGTGAGTAGGCAAGTGGGTGAGTGGGTGAGTGGGTGAGTGGGCAGGTGGGTGAGTGGGTGAGTAAGTGGGCGAGCAGGGAGGCAGGTGGGTGAGTGGGTGAGTGGGTGAGTAGGCAGGTGGGTGAGTGGGTGAGTGGGTGAGTAGGTGAGTGGGTGAGTAGGCAGGTGGGTGAGTGGGTGAGTAGGCAGGCGGGTGAGTGGGTGAGTGGGTGAGTAGGCAGGGGGGTGAGTGGGTGAGTAGGCAGGGGGGTGAGTGGGTGAGTAGGCAGGGGGGTGAGTGGGTGAGTAGGCAGGCGGGTGAGTGGGTGAGTAGGCAGGCGGGTGAGTGGGTGAGTGGGCGGGTAGGTGGGTGAGTGGGTGAGTGGGTGAGTAGGCAGGTGGGTGAGTGGGTGAGTTGGCAGGTGAATGGTTGAGTAGGTGAGTGGGCGAGTAAGTGGGCGAGTAAGTGGGCGAGCAGGCAGGCAGGTGGGTGAGTGAGTGGGTGAGTGCGTGGACAGGTAGCCGAGGGTACGTGGAAAGGAAGCGACCCAGAGGCAAAGACAAAGGTCCCCCGTGCAGCCTCTAACAGACTGCTGGGGCAAGTGCTGTTAGTAGCGAGTTGCAGGAGCGCCTGTGAAGGTAGACACAGACAAAGGTCCCCCGTGTAGCCTCTATAGGTTGTAGGGGCAAGTGCTGTTGGTAGCGAGTAGCAGCAGCTATGAAGGTAGACACAGACAAATGTCCCCCGTGTAGCCTCTACAGACTGCTGGGGCAAGTGCTGTTAGTAGCGAGTAGCAGCAGCACCTGTGAAGGTAGACAAAGGTCCCCCGTGCAGCCTCTAACAGACTGCTGGGGCAAGTGCTGTTAGTAGCGAGTTGCAGCAGCGCCTGTGAAGGCTACCGGCACTGTGGCGCACGAGGGGGTGGGTGGCCACCAGCACCACGCCCGGCCGCCTTTGTCTCCCCCAGTGGCGACGTTTGCTACGCTACTCCGCGCCCGCCTACTCATTTGACCGCCGATTCGACCTCGGCGGAGGAGGCCCAGCGGCGTCGGTGGCCGTGAGCGGGAATCGAACGCCGGGGGAATCCGAAAAGCCGCGAAGCTCTTCGCCACTTCTCCCCACCCCCCCACCCCCCCCCCCCCAGCTCTCCACCCACCGCCCCCACTGCCCCCCACCTCTCTCAGCTTGCCCTGGGCGTCCGCCAGCGACGCCTGCTTCTCCTGCAGCTGGGCCATGGTGGCGTTGAGGCGGCTCTGCTTGGGTTCCACAATGCGGTAGATTCGCCCGTACATCTACGCAGGGACAACCATTCACCACACACACCACGTGTGTACTCGCCACACACACCACGTGTACACACACACCACGTGTGTACTCGCCACACACACCACGTGTACACTCACCACACACACCACGTGTACACTCACCACACACACCACGTGTACACTCACCACACACACCACGTGTACACACACACCACGTGTGTACTCACCACACACACCACGTGTACACACACACCACGTGTACACACACCACACACACTACGTGTACACTCACCACACACACCACGTGTACACTCACCACACACACCACGTGTACACTCACCACACACACCACGTGTACACACAAACCACGTGTACACTCACCACACATACACCACACACAACTCACACACCCCACACACACACACACCACACTCACACACCACACACACCCCACACACACCCCACACACACCCCACACACACCACACACACCCCACACACCACACACACCCCACACACACCACACACACACCACACACACCCCACACACACCCCCCACACACACCACACACACCACACCAACACACCACACACGCACCCCACACACACACCACACCCACCCCACACACCCCACACACCCCACACACAACACACGTTACACAAACCACACACCCCACACACCACACCCCACACGCACACCACACACACACACCCCACACACACCACACTCACACACCACACACAAACCCCACACACACACCCCCCACACACACACCACACACACACCCCACACCCACCCCACACACACCCCACACACACACCCCACACACACCCCACACACACCCCACACACACCCCACACCCACCCCACACACACCCCACACACTCCACACACCCCACACACACACACCACACACACCCCACACACAACACACGTCACACCACACACACACCCCACACACACCACACCCACACACAACACACAACACCCCACGCACCACACCCACACACACCACACTCACACCCCACACACACACACCACACCCACACCCCACACACACACCCCACGCACCACACACATGAACTAACAAATGAGCTAACGAATGCAATAACGGACGAGCTAACGAATGAGCTAACGAACGATCGAACGAGCGAACGAAGCAAAGGCAAGACACACACCCCACACACACACCACACCACACCCCACACAACACACGTCACACAAACCACACACCCCACACACACACACCACACAAACCCCACACACAACACACACCACACACACACCCCACACACACACAAACACAACTCACACACCCCACACACACACACACCCCACACACACACACCCCACACACACCCCACACCTACCCCACACACACCCCACACACACCACACAAACCCCACACACAACACAAGTTACACAAACCTCACACACAACACACACCACACACACACACACACACCCCACACACACCCCACACACCACAAACACACCACACACACACACACACCACACACCCCACACACCACAAACACACCACACACACACACAACACACCCACCCCCCACACACACCACACACCCCACACACACACCCCGAACACCACACACATGAACTAACGGACGAGCTAACGGACGAGCTAATGGACGAGCTAACGAACGAGCGAGCGAGCGAGTGATCGAACGAGCGAGCGAAGCAAAGGCAAGCAGCTTCACCTCCATGGCGCGCACCCACATGCAGAGGGAACGCGCCGCTCCGGACACGTTGCCGATGATGTCGGGCTGGAAGTCGGGCTGGGCACAGTAGTGGCCGATCTTCTTGAGCACGCGCTCCGAGATGTTGTCCCGGTCGAAGTTGGCGAGCTGCTTGATGAAGTTCTGGTCGCCTGCGGGCCGAGAAATAGACGGGGTGTGGGTGGGTGGGTGGCGGTGGTGGTGGTGGTGGTGGCGGTGGTGGTGGTGGTGGTGGCGGTGATGGTGGCGGTGGTGGTGGTGGTGGCGGTGGTGGTGGTGGTGGTGGTGATGGTGGCGGTGGTGCCGGTGATGATGCCGATGATGGTGCCGATGGCGACGGTGCCGAAGATGATGACGATGTTGCTGATGACGATGGTGCTGATGGTGATGATGAATATGTTGCCGATGACGATGATGGCGATGACGATGAGGGCGATGACGATGAGGGCGATGACGATGTTGCCGATGACGATGGCGCCGATGACGATGTTGCCGATGATGATGGTGCTGATGATGATGATGACTATGTTGCCGATGACGATGATGGCGATGACAATGACGATGTTGCCGATGATGATGGTGCCGATGACGATGGTGCTGATGCTGATGACGATGGTGCCAATGGCGATGTTGCCGAAGATGATGACGATGTTGCTGATGACGATGGTGCTGATGATGATGATGAATATGTTGCCGACGACGATGATGGCGATGACGATGTTGCTGATGACGATGAGGGCAATGACGATGTTGCCGATGACGATGGCGCCGATGACGATGTTGCCGATGATGATGGTGCTGATGATGATGATGACTATGTTGCCGATGACGATGATGGCGATGACAATGACGATGATAGCAATGACGATGTTGCCGATGATGATGGTGCTGATGATGATGGTGCTGATGACGATGGTGCTGATGACGATGACGATGGTGCCGATGGCGATGTTGCCGAAGATGATGACGATGTTGCTGATGACGATGTTGCTGATGATGATGATCATGAATATGTTGCCGACGACGATGATGGCGATGACGATGTTGCTGATGACGATGGCGCCGATGACGATGTTGACGATGACGATGGTGCTGATGATGATGATGATGACGACTATGTTGCCGATGACGATGATGGCGATGACGATGTTGCTGATGACGATGGTGCCGATGACGATGGTGCTGATGACGATGGTGCTGATGACGATGATGGTGATGATGACGATGGCGATGATGATGATGGCGATGATGATGGTGCCGATGACGATGATGGCGATGATGACGATGGCGATGATGATGATGGCGATGATGATGATGGCGCCGATGACGATGTTGCCGATGACGATGATGGCGATGACGATGATGATGATGGCGATGATGATGATGATGGCGATGACGATGATGATGATGGCGATGATGATGATGGCGCCGATGGCGATGTTGCCGATGACGATGACGATGATGGCGATGACGATGATGGCGATGACGATGTTGCCGATGATGATGGCGCCGATGGCGATGTTGCCGATGACGATGTTGCCGATGACGACGATGACGACGACGACGACGACGATGTTGCCGATGGCGACGGCGCCGCCCTCACTCAGCTGGCGCTTGGCCTCGGCCCAGGTGGGCTCGCCGCCTCTGAGGATCATCACAGCCTGCATCACCGTCTCCACGAGGGGCGGGGGACGGCCGTACGACTTGATCTCTGTCATGTCCCGCTTGTTCAGAGACTCCAGCGCCTGGGGGTGGGGGGGGAGGGAGTGGGTGGAGGGGGGAGGGGGGGAGGGAGGGGGTGGAGGGGGGAGGTGGGGGAGCGGGGGGTGAGTGGGTGGATGAGAGGGTGGTGAGTGGGTGGAGGGGGGAGGGGGGTGAGTGGGTGGAGGGGGGAGGGGGAGAGGGGGAGAGGGGGGGAGGGGTGAGTGGGTGGAGGGGGGAGCGGGGGAGGTGGGTGAGGGGGTGGAGGGATGGCAAAGTTTTCGTGATTGATTGATCCAGGGTGATTGCTCAAATCCGGCGTGACTGATCGAGCGTGACTGATCGATCGAGGGTGATTGACCGATCGACCGAGCGTGACCGATCAAGCGTGGTTGACCGATCGATCGAGCGTGACTGACTGATGAATCGAGCGTGATCGATCGATTCATCAGTCAATCACGCTTGATCGGTCACGCTCGATCGCGATCGACTGATCGATCGAACTTGATCGATCGACGGAGCACGATCGATCGATGTCAGCGTACCGCCCCCGACGGAGGGGGGAGGGGGGTGTGGGCACCTTCATGGCCTCCTCGAGGGCCGGCAGCGCCTCGTCCAGGTCCCGCTGGGCGTTCTGAGCCAGCGCCTTGCACTTGGCCTCCTCCAGCGAAATCCGCTCGCTGTGAGCCACCACGGCCTGCACCGTAATGACAGCGGCAGTGACAACGACAACGACGACAACGACAATGACAACGACAATGACGACAACAACAATGACAACGACAACAATGACAACGACAATGACAACAACAACAACGACAACAACAATGACAACAACAATGACAACGACAATGACAACAACAATGACAACGACAATGACAACAACAACAACAATGACAACAACAATGACAACGACAATGACAACAACAATGACAACAACAATGACAACAACAACAATGACAACAACAACAATGACAGCGGCAGTGACAACGACAATGACGACAACAACAATGACAACGACAACAATGACAACAACAATGACAACAACAACAATGACAACGACAACAATGACAACGACAACAATGACAACGACAACAATGACAACGACAACAATGACAACGACAACAATGACAACAACAACAACAATGACAACAACAACAATGACAACGACAATGACAACAGCAATGACAACAACAATGACAACAACAACAATGACAACGACAACAATGACAACAACAACAACAATGACAACGACAACAATGACAACGACAACAATGACAACGACAACAATGACAACGACAACAATGACAACGACAACAACGACAACAACAACAATGACAACGACAACAATGACAACGACAACAATGACAACAACAACAACAATGACAACAACAACAATGACAACGACAATGACAACAGCAATGACAATGACAACGACAATGACAACAACAATGACAATGACAACAATGACAACGACGACAACAACAATGACAACAACAATGACAACAATGACAACAACAACAACGACAATGACAACAATGACAACAACAACAATGACAACGACAACAATGACAACAACAATGACAACGACAATGACAACAACAATGAAAACGACAATGACAATGACAACGACAACATAGACATACAGAGAAACTCATAGACATACATAGAGACCCATAGACATACATAGAGACCCATAGACTTACACAGAGACCCATAGACATACATAGAGACCCATAGACTTACACAGAGACCCATAGACATACAGAGAGACTCATAGACATACATAGAGACCCATAGACATACATAGAGGCCCATAGACTTACACAGAGACCCATAGACATACAGAGAGACTCATAGACATACATAGAGACCCATAGACATACATAGAGACCCATAGACATACATAGAGACCCATAGACATACACAGAGACCCATAGACATACATAGAGACCCATAGACTTACACAGAGACCCATAGACATACACAGAGACCCATAGACATACATAGAGACCCACAGACATACTTAGAGACCCATAGACATACATAGAGACCCATAGACATACAGAGAGACTCATAGACATACATAGAGACGCATAGACATACACAGAGACCCATAGACTTACACAGAGACCCATAGACATACATAGAGACCCACAGACCTACATACACTCCCATAGACTTACATAGGGACCCACAGACCTACATACAGTCCCATAGAGTTACATAGAGACCCACAGACATACATAGAGACCCACAGACATACATAGAGACCCACAGACCTACATACAGTCCCATAGACTTACATAGAGACCCACAGACCTACATGCAGTCCCATAGACTTACACAGAGACCCACAGACCTACATGCAGTCCCATAGACTTACATAGAGACCCACAGACCTACATACAGTCCCATAGACTTACACAGAGACCCACAGACCTACATACAGTCCCATAGACTTACATAGAGACCCACAGACCTACATAGAGACCCACAGACATACACAGAGACCAACAGACCTACATACATTCCCATAGACTTACATAGAGACCCACAGACATACACAGAGACCCACAGACATACACAGAGACCCACAGACCTACATACAGTCCCATAGACTTACACAGAGATCCACAGACCTGCATACAGTCCCATAGACATACACAGAGACCCACAGACCTACATACAGTCCCATAGACTTACACAGAGACCCACAGACCTACATACAGACCCACAGACATACACAGAGACCCACAGACCTACATACAGTCCCATAGACTTACACAGAGACCCATAGACCTACATACAGTCCCACAGACTTACATAAAGACCCACAGACCTACATACAGTCCCATAGACTTACATAGAGACCCACAGACATACATAGAGACCCACAGACATACACAGAGACCCACAGACCTACATACAGTCCCATAGACTTACACAAAGACCCACAGACCTACATACAGTCCCATAGACTTACATAGAGACCCACAGACCTACATACAGTCCCACAGACTTACATAGAGACCCACAGACCTACATGCAGTCCCATAGACTTACACAGAGACCCACAGACCTACATACAGTCCCATTGACTTACATAAAGACCCACAGACCTACATACAGTCCCATACACTTACACAGAGACCCACAGACCTACATACAGTCCCATAGACTTACACAGAGATCCACAGACCTACATACAGTCCCATAGACTTACATAGAGATCCACAGACCTACATACAGTCCCATAGACTTACATAGAGTCCCACAGACCTACATACAGTCCCACAGACTTACATAGAGACCCACAGACCTACATACAGTCCCATAGACTTACATAGAGACCCACAGACATACATAGAGACCCACAAACATACACAGAGACCCACAGACCTACATACAGTCCCATAGACTTACACAGAGACCCACAGACCTACATACAGTCCCATAGACTTACACAGAGACCCGTACAGGAGGTATGGGGGAGGGGATGGGATGGGATTGGGGGGGGATGGGGTACGAGGGGGGGGTGATTGGGGGTAGGGTACGGGGAGGGGGGTACGGGGGTGGAGCGACGACGACCCCCCCCCACCGCCCCCCCCCCCACCCCCCCCCACCCCCCCCACCCCCCCCACCCCCCCCACCCCCCCCACCGCCCCCCCCCCGCACCTTCTGCTGCTCGTCGGCCTCCCGCTTCTGCCGCACGATCACCACGAGGTACTCCTCGCACTGCCGCTGGAGGTCGGCGACCTGCCCCTTGGCCTCCTCCAGCCGCGCTCGCATGGCCTCCACCTTGCGGCTCGTGTCGCCGACCTTGTGCAGGCCGCTGTGCAGCTTGCTCAGCTGCAGGCCCAGCTCGCGACGCTTCTCCGTCAGCAGCCTGTCGTGAGCGGCGGTAGTCAGCGGCGGTAGTCAGCGGTGGTAGTTGGCGGTGGTAGTTGGTGGTGGTAGTTGGTGGTGGTAGTTGGTGGTGGTAGTTAGCGGTGGTAGTTAGTGGTGGTAGTTGGTGGTGGTAGTTGGCGGTGGTAGTTGGCGGTGGTAGTTAGCGGTGGTAGTTAGCGGTGGTAGTTGGTGGTGGTAGTTGGCGGTGGTAGTTGGTGGTGGTAGTTGGTGGTGGTAGTTGGTGGTGGTAGTTAGCGGTGGTAGTTAGTGGTGGTAGTTGGTGGTGGTAGTTGGCGGTGGTAGTTGGCGGTGGTAGTTAGCGGTGGTAGTTAGCGGTGGTAGTTGGTGGTGGTAGTTGGCGGTGGTAGTTGGTGGTGGTAGTTGGTGGTGGTAGTTGGTGGTGGTAGTTAGCGGTGGTAGTTAGTGGTGGTAGTTGGTGGTGGTAGTTGGCGGTGGTAGTTGGCGGTGGTAGTTAGCGGTGGTAGTTAGCGGTGGTAGTTGGTGGTGGTAGTTGGCGGTGGTAGTTAGCGGTGGTAGTTAGCGGCGGTAGTTGGCGGTGGTAGTTAGCGGTGGTAGTTAGTGGCGGTAGTTAGTGGTGGTAGTTAGTAGTGGTAGTTGGTGGTGGTAGTTAGCGGCGGTAGTTAGCGGCGGTAGTTAGCGGTGGTCGTGAGTGGTGGTAGTTAGTGGTGGTAGTTAGCGGCGGTAGTTAGCGGTGGTAGTTGGTGGTGGTAGTTAGCGGTGGTAGTTAGCGGTGGTAGTTGGTGGCGGTAGTTGGTGGTGGTAGTTAGCGGTGGTAGTTAGTGGTGGTAGTTGGCGGTGGTAGTTAGCGGTGGTAGTTAGCGGTGGTAGTTGGCGGTGGTAGTTAGCGGTGGTAGTTAGTGGTGGTCGTGAGTGGTGGTAGTTAGTGGTGGTAGTTAGCGGTGGTAGTTAGCGGCGGTAGTTAGTGGTGGTAGTTAGCGGTGGTAGTTAGTGGTGGTCGTGAGTGGTGGTAGTTAGTGGTGGTAGTTAGCGGTGGTAGTTAGCGGCGGTAGTTAGCGGTGGTAGTTAGCGGTGGTAGTTGGTGGTGGTAGTTAGCGGCGGTAGTTGGTGGTGGTAGTTGGCGGTGGTAGTTGGTGGTGGTAGTTAGCGGCGGTAGTTAGCGGCGGTAGTTGGTGGTGGTAGTTAGCGGTGGTAGTTAGCGGTGGTAGTTAGCGGCGGTAGTTAGCGGTGGTAGTTGGTGGTGGTAGTTAGCGGTGGTAGTTAGCGGTGGTAGTTGGTGGCGGTAGTTGGTGGTGGTAGTTAGCGGTGGTAGTTGGCGGTGGTAGTTAGCGGTGGTAGTTAGCGGTGGTAGTTGGCGGTGGTAGTTAGCGGTGGTAGTTAGTGATGGTCGTGAGTGGTGGTAGTTAGTGGTGGTAGTTAGCGGTGGTAGTTAGCGGCGGTAGTTAGTGGTGGTAGTTAGCGGTGGTAGTTAGTGGTGGTCGTGAGTGGTGGTAGTTAGTGGTGGTAGTTAGCGGTGGTAGTTAGCGGCGGTAGTTAGCGGTGGTAGTTAGCGGTGGTAGTTAGTGGTGGTCGTGAGTGGTGGTAGTTAGTGGTGGTAGTTAGCGGTGGTAGTTAGCGGCGGTAGTTAGCGGTGGTAGTTAGCGGTGGTAGTTAGTGGTGGTCATGAGCGGCGCTAGTTAGTGGCGCTAGTTAGCGGCGATAGTTAGCGGCGGTAGTTGGCGGTGGTAGTTGGCGGTGGTAGTTGGTGGTGGTAGTTAGCGGCGGTAGTTAGCAGCGGTAGTTAGCGGTGGTAGTTGGTGGTGGTAGTTAGCGGCGGTAGTTAGCGGCGGTAGTTGGTGGTGGTAGTTAGCGGCGGTAGTTAGTGGTGGTCGTGAGTGGTGGTAGTTAGTGGTGGTAGTTAGTGGTGGTAGCTAACTACCACCGCTGACTACCGCCGCTAACTACCGCCGCTCACGACCACCACTCACGAACACCGCTAACTACCACTGCTAACTCGTGAGCGGCGGTAGTTAGCGGCGGTAGTAGGCGGTGGTAGTTAGTGGTGGTAGTTAGTGGTGGCAGTTAGCGGTGGTAGTTAGCGGTGGTAGTTAGCGGCGGTAGTTAGCGGTGGTAGTCAGTGGCGGTAGTTAGCGGTGGTCGTGAGTGGTGGTCGTGAGTGGTGGTAGTTAGTGATGGTAGTTGATGGTGGTAGTTAGTGGTGGTAGTTAGCGGCGGTAGTTAGTGGTGGTAGTTAGTGGTGGTAGTTAGCGGCGGTAGTTGGTGGCGGTAGTTGGCGGTGGTAGTTGGCGGTGGTAGTTAGTGGTGGTAGTTAGTGGCGGTAGTTAGCGGCGGTAGTTGGTGGTGGTAGTTAGTGGTGGTAGTTAGCGGTGGTCGTGAGTGGTGGTAGTTAGCGGTGGTAGTTAGCGGTGGTAGTTAGCGGTGGTAGTTAGCGGTGGTAGTCAGCAGTGGTAGTTAGCGGTGGTAGTTAGTGGTGGTCGTGAGTGGTGGTCATGAGTGGTGGTAGTTAGTGATGGTAGTTAGCGGTGGTAGTTAGTGGTGGTAGTTAGCGGTGGTAGTTAGTGGTGGTAGTTAGTGATGGTAGTTAGTGGTGGTAGTTAGCGGTGGTAGTTAGTGGTGGTCATGAGCGGCGCTAGTTAGCGGCGGTAGTCAGCGGCGGTAGTTAGCGGCGCTAGTTAGCGGCGGTAGTTAGCGGTGGTAGTTAGCGGTGGTAGTCAGCAGTGGTAGTTAGCGGTGGTAGTTAGTGGTGGTCGTGAGTGGTGGTCATGAGTGGTGGTAGTTAGTGATGGTAGTTAGCGGTGGTAGTTAGTGGTGGTAGTTAGCGGTGGTAGTTAGTGGTGGTAGTTAGTGATGGTAGTTAGTGGTGGTAGTTAGCGGTGGTAGTTAGTGGTGGTCATGAGCGGCGCTAGTTAGCGGCGGTAGTCAGCGGCGGTAGTTAGCGGCGCTAGTTAGCGGCGGTAGTTAGCGGTGGTAGTTAGCGGTGGTAGTTAGCGGTGGTCGTGAGCGGCGGTAGTTAGCGGTGGTAGTTAGTGGTGGTAGTTAGTGGTGGTAGTTAGCGGTGGTCGTGAGCGGTGGTAGTTAGCGGTGGTAGTTAGTGGTGGTAGTTAGTGGTGGTAGTTAATAGTGGTAGTTAATAGTGGTAGTTAGTGGTGGTAGTTAGTGGTGGTAGTTAGTGGTGGTAGTTAATAGTGGTAGTTAGTGGTGGTAGTTAGTGGTGGTAGTTAGTGGTGGTAGTTAGTGGTGGTAGTTAGTGGTGGTAGTTAGTGGTGGTCGTGAGCGGCGGTCGTGAGCGGTGGTCGCTAGCTAATGACGACAGTGGTGGTGGTCCTGCTGCTGCTAATGACGACGGTGGTGGTGGTTGTGATGCTGCTGACGGCACTGTTGTGAATGACCATGGTGGTGGTGGTTGTGGTGGTGGTGGTGGTTGTGATGACACTGTTGTGAATGACCGTGGTGGTGGTGGTGGTGGTGATGCTGCTGATGTCACTGTTGTGAATGACCGTGGTGGTGGTGGTGGTTGTGATGCTGCTGATGTCACTGTTGTGAATGACCGTGGTGGTGGTGGTGGTTGTGATGCTGCCGATGGCACTGTTGTGAATGACCGTGGTGGTGGTGGTGGTTGTGATGCTGCCGATGGCACTGTTGCGAATGACCGTGGTGGTGGTGGTGGTGGTTGTGATGCTGCTGATGTCACTGCTGCGAATGACCGTGGTGGTGGTGGTTGTGATGTTGCCGATGGCACTGTTGTGAATGACCGTGGTGGTGGTGGTTGTGATGCTGCTGACGACACTGCTGCGAATGACCGTGGTGGTGGTGGTGGTGTTTGTGGTGGTGGTTGTGTTGGTGGTCGTGGTGGTGGTTGTGGTGGTGGTGGTTGTGTTGGTGGTTGTGTTGGTGGTCGTGGTGGTGCGGTGCGCCTCCCGCCGTGCCCGCTCACCGCTTGTACCCGCCCACCAGCTCCAGGTAGTTGGTGGGCGTCACGTAGTTGTGCCGCTGGAGCTCCACGAGCATCCTGCGCGAGGAATCGGCCACGGAGCGGTGCATGATGACGAACATCTGGGCCACCTTGGACTGCAACTGCATGCACGCAGCAGGGACAGCGTCTCTAAGGCTGGCTCCTCCCGTCTCTAAGGCTGGCTCCTCCCGTCTCTAAGGCTGGCTCCTCCCGTCTCTAAGGATGGCTCCTCCCGTCTCTAAGGCTGGCTCCTCCCGTCTCTAAGGCTGGCTCCTCCCGTCTCTAAGGCTGGCTCCTCCCGTCTCTAAGGCTGGCTCCTCCCGTCTCTAAGGCTGGCTCCTCCCGTCTCTAAGGCTGGCTCCTCCCGTCTCTAAGGCTGGCTCCTCCCGTCTCTAAGGCTGGCTCCTCCCGTCTCTAAGGCTGGCTCCTCCCGTCTCTAAGGCTGGCTCCTCCCGTCTCTAAGGCTGGCTCCTCCCGTCTCTAAGGCTGGCTCCTCCCGTCTCTAAGGCTGGCTCCTCCCGTCTCTAAGGCTGGCTCCTCCCGTCTCTAAGGCTGGCTCCTCCCGTGTCTAACGCTGGCTCCCGTCTCTAAGGCTGGCTCCTCCCGTCTCTAAGGCTGGCTCCTCCCGTCTCTAAGGCTGGCTCCTCCCGTCTCTAAGGCTGGCTCCTCCTGTCTCTAAAGCTGGCTCCTCCCGTCTATAACGCTGGCTCCCGTCTCTAAGGCTGGCTCCTCCCGTCTCTAAGGCTGGCTCCTCCCGTCTCTAAGGCTGGCTCCTCCCGTGTCTAACGCTGGCTCCTCCCGTCTCTAACGCTGGCTCCTCCCGTCTCTAACGCTGGCTCCTCCCGTCTCTAACGCTGGCTCCTCCCGTCTCTAACGCTGGCTCCTCCCGTCTCTAAGGCTGGCTCCACCCATCTCTAAGGCTGGCTCCTCCCGTCTCTAAGGCTGGCTCCACCCATCTCTAAGGCTGGCTCCTCCCGTCTCTAAGGCTGGCTCCTCCCGTCTCTAAGGCTGGCTCCTCCCGTCTCTAACGCTGGCTCCTCCCGTCTCTAACGCTGGCTCCTCCCGTCTCTAAGGCTGGCTCCACCCATCTCTAAGGCTGGCTCCTCCCGTCTCTAAGGCTGGCTCCTCCCGTCTCTAACGCTGGCTCCTCCCGTCTCTAACGCTGGCTCCTCCCGTCTCTAAGGCTGGCTCCCGTCTCTAAGGCTGGCTCCCGTCTCTAACGCTGGCTCTTCCCGTCTCTAACGCTGGCTCCTCCCGTCTCTAAGGCTGGCTCCCCCCGTGTCTAAGGCTGGCTCCCGTCTCTAAGGCTGGCTCCCGTCTCTAACGCTGGCTCCTCCCGTCTCTAAGGCTGGCTCCCCCCGTGTCTAAGGCTGGCTCCCGTCTCTAAGGCTGGCTCCCATCTCTAATGCTGGCTCCCGTCTCTAACGCTGGCTCCTCCCGTCTCTAAGGCTGGCTCCCGTCTCTAAGGCTGGCTCCCGTCTCTAACGCTGGCTCCTCCCGTCGCTAAGGCTGGCTCCCCCCGTCTCTAACACTGGCTCCTCCCGTCTCTAACGCTGGCTCCTCCCGTCTCTAACGCTGGCTCCTCCCGTCTCTAACGCTGGCTCCTCCCGTCTCTAACGCTGGCTCCTCCCGTCTCTAACGCTGGCTCCTCCCGTCTCTAACGCTGGCTCCTCCCGTCTCTAACGCTGGCTCCTCCCGTCTCTAAGGCTGGCTCCACCCATCTCTAAGGCTGGCTCCTCCCGTCTCTAAGGCTGGCTCCTCCCGTCTCTAACGCTGGCTCCTCCCGTCTCTAAGGCTGGCTCCACCCATCTCTAAGGCTGGCTCCTCCCGTCTCTAAGGCTGGCTCCTCCCGTCTCTAAGGCTGGCTCCTCCCGTCTCTAACGCTGGCTCCTCCCGTCTCTAACGCTGGCTCCTCCCGTCTCTAAGGCTGGTTCCACCCATCTCTAAGGCTGGCTCCTCCCGTCTCTAAGGCTGGCTCCTCCCGTCTCTAACGCTGGCTCCTTCCGTCTCTAACGCTGGCTCCTCCCGTCTCTAAGGCTGGCTCCCGTCTCTAAGGCTGGCTCCCGTCTCTAACGCTGGCTCCCGTCTCTAACGCTGGCTCCTCCCGTCTCTAAGGCTGGCTCCCGTTTCTAAGGCTGGCTCCCGTCTCTAAGGCTGGCTCCCGTCTCTAACGCTGGCTCCTCCCGTCTCTAAGGCTGGCTCCCGTCTCTAAGGCTGGCTCCCGTCTCTAAGGCTGGCTCCCGTCTCTAAGGCTGGCTCCCGTCTCTAACGCTGGCTCCTCCCGTCTCTAAGGCTGGCTCCCGTCTCTAAGGCTGGCTCCCGTCTCTAACGCTGGCTCCTCCCGTCTCTAAGGCTGGCTCCCCCCGTCTCTAACACTGGCTCCCGTCTCTAACACTGGCTCCCGTCTCTAACGCTGGCTGCCGTCTCTAAGGCTGGCTCCTCCCATCTCTAAGGCTGGCTCCTCCCGTCTCTAAGGCTGGCTCCCGTTTCTAACGCTGGCTCCTCCCGTGTCTAACGCTGGCTCCTATCTGTCTCTGTGGGTCTCCATGTGAGTATATGGGTCTCCGTGTAAGTCTATGTAAGTCCATGTAAGTCTATGGGTCTCTGTGTGAGTCTATGGGTCTCCTTCTGAGACTATGGGTCTCTTTGAAAGTCTATGAGTTACTATGTAAGTCTATGGGTCTCTGTGTAGGTCTATGTAAGTCTATGTAAGTCTATGGGTCTCTGTGTGAGTTTATGGGTCTCTATGTGAGTCTATGTAAGTCTATGTGTCTCTGTGTAAGTCTATGAGTCTCTATATAAGTCTATGAGTCTCTGTGTAAGTCTATGTAAGTCTATGAGTCTCTATGTAAGTCCATGAGTCTCTATGTAAGTCTATGGGTCTCTGTGCAAGTCTATGAGTCTCTATGTAAGTCTATGAGTCTCTATGTAAGTCTATGGGTCTCTGTGTAAGTCTATGAGTCTCTATGGAAGTCTATGTGTCTCTATTTAAGTCAATGGGTCTCTGTGTAAGTCTATGTAAGTCTATGAGTCTCTATGTAAGTCTATGGGTCTCTGTGCAAGTCTATGCATCTCTGTGTAAGTCTATGAGTCTCTGTGTGAGTCTATGTAAGTCTATGCGTCTCTGTGTAAGTCTATGTAAGTCTATGTGTCTCTGTGTAAGTCTATGAGTCTCTATGTAAGTCTATGAGTCTCTGTGTAAGTCTATGTAACTCTATGAGTCTCTATGTAAGTCTATGGGTGTCTATGTAAGTCTATGTGTCTCTGTGTAAGTCTATGAGTCTCTATGTAAGTCTATGGGTCTCTGTGCAAGTCTATGCGTCTCTATGTAAGTCTATGATTCTCTATGGAAGTCTATGGGTCTCTGTGTAAGTCAATGTAAGTCTATGTGTCTCTATGTAAGTCTATGTGTCTCTGTGTAAGTCCATGAGTCTCTATGTAAGTCTATGGGTCTCTGTGCAAGTCTATGAGTCTCTATGTAAGTCTATGAGTCTCTATGTAAGTCTATGGGTCTCTGTGTAAGTCTATGAGTCTCTATGTAAGTCTATGTGTCTCTATGTAAGTCAATGGGTCTCTGTGTAAGTCTATGTAAGTCTATGAGTCTCTATGTAAGTCTATGGGTCTCTGTGGAAGTCTATGCATCTCTGTGTAAGTCTATGAGTCTCTGTGTGAGTCTATGTAAGTCTATGCGTCTCTGTGTAAGTCTATGTAAGTCTATGTGTCTCTATGTAAGTCTATGTGTCTCTGTGTAAGTCCATGAGTCTCTATGTAAGTCTATGGGTCTCTGTGCAAGTCTATGAGTCTCTATGTAAGTCTATGAGTCTCTATGTAAGTCTATGGGTCTCTGTGTAAGTCTATGGGTCTCTGTGTAAGTCTATGAGTCTCTATGTAAGTCTATGTGTCTCTATGTAAGTCAATGGGTCTCTGTGTAAGTCTACGTAAGTCTATGAGTCTCTATGTAAGTCTATGGGTCTCTGTGCAAGTCAATGCTTCTCTGTGTAAGTCTATGGGTCTCTGTGTAAGTATATGGGTCTCTGTGTAAGTCTATGAGTCTCTATGTAAGTCTATGTGTCTCTATGTAAGTCAATGGGTCTCTGTGTAAGTCTACGTAAGTCTATGAGTCTCTATGTAAGTCTATGGGTCTCTGTGCAAGTCTATGCATCTCTGTGTAAGTCTATGGGTCTCTGTGCAAGTCAATGCTTCTCTGTGTAAGTCTATGGGTCTCTATGTAAGTCTATGTGTCTCTGTGTAAGTCTATGCGTCTCTGTGTACGTCTATGCGTCTCTGTGGGGGTCACCGGTGACGCAGGCTAAGACCGTCAACTCTCAGCCACGAGAGAAACCCCCGGCGTAATCGCCGGGGGTTCGGGGCCGCGACCGGCACTGGAACCCAGGCCTCCGGACGGCTCCGTCCGAGCTACCGGCGGCCCGAGTTCGAGTCCCGCCCGCCGCCGCCGCCGCCGCCGCCGCCGGCACCGGCGACGCCGGTTATCTGAACCGGCGCCGCGCCTCCACCGGGGTCGACCTCGGCCTCAAACGGGTAACCCGGTGCCGCGCGTGGCGTGTAAACACCGCCCCTGGTGGGAGTCTTCGCCAACCTCTGGGCTGTCGCCGGTGCCGTCGCCGGTGCCTCCCGTGCCGCCGCCGGTGTCGCCGGCGGCGGCGGCGTCGGCGGTGCCGGACGGCGCCGCTCCCTGCAGGCAGCGCTCGGCCACCTCGAGCAGAGCGTCCCGGGGCCACTCCCAGAACCAGTCAATGGTGGTGCAGCTCACCAGCGCCGGGTACTGGCGGATGCGGCGCCTGTGGGCACGCGGTCACCGCCGTCGGCGGCACCGTAAGTGGTGGTGATGGTGGTGTTGGTAGTGCTGGTGATGGTGGTGGTGGCGGCGGTGATGGTGGTGGTGGTGATAGTGGTGGTGTAGGTGGCGGTGATGATGGCGGTGGTGCCGGTGGTGATGGTGGCGGTTTTGATGGCGATAATGGTGGTGGTGGTGGTCGTGACGTCGGTGGTGATGGTGGTGGTGATGGTGGTGGTGATGGTGGTGGTGATCGTGGTGGTATAGGTGGTGGTGGTGGCGCTGTAAGTGCAGGCAAGGCTGTAGGTGCGGGCGAGGCTGTAGGAGCGGGAGAGGCTGTAGGTGCGGGCGAGGCTGTAGGAGCGGGAGAGGCTGTAGGTGCGGGCGAGGCTGTAGGTGCGGGCGAGCCTGTAGGTGCGGGCGAGCCTGTAGGTGCGGGAGAGCCTGTAGGCGCGGGCGAGGCTGTAGCACCTGAAGGAGTCCCCCACGGGGCTCATGCACAGCACCAGGTGCAGATTCTCGCAAACTCTCTCCAGGAGGAGGCGGGAGATCCCCTCGGGGGAGTCCACAAAGCCGCCGGCCAGCGCCGCCCCCGCCAGCGCCGCTCGCACCTGGGGTGGGGGGGGGGGGGGTGGGGGGGGAGGTGGGGGGGGAAGTGGGGGGGGGAAGTGGGGGGGGGTGGGAAGGAGGGGGGGGGGGCAAGGGACTGATGACGATGATCAGGGTGCAATTGTTCTCACCGGAGGGTCTCAACGCCGTCCTCACCCCACCGCTCTCACCCCACCGCCCACACCCCACCGCCCTCACCCCACCGCCCTCACCCCACCGCCCTCACCCCCACCACTCTCACCCCACCGCCCTCACCCCACCGCCCTCACCCCACCGCGCTCACCCCACCGCCCTCACCCCACCGCCCTCACCCCACCGCCCTCACCCCGCCACCCTCACCCCACCCCCCTCACCCCACCGCCCTCACCCCACCACTCTCACCCCACCGCCCTCACCCCACCGCTCTCACCCCACCGCCCTCACCCCACCGCCCTCACCCCACCACTCTCACCCCACCGCCCTCACCCCACCGCCCTCACCCCACCACTCTCACCCCACCGCCCTCACCCCACCACCCTCACCCCACCGCCCTCACCCCATCGTCCTCACCCCACCGTCCTCACCCCTGCCGGCCCTCACCCCATCGACCTCACCCCACCACCCTCACCCCACCGCCCTCACCCCACCGTCCTCACCCCACCGCCCTCACCCCACCGCCCTCACCCCACCGCTCTCACCCCACCGCCCTCACCCCACCGCCCTCACCCCACCGCCCTCACCCCATCGTCCTCACCCCACCGCTCTCACCCCACCGCCCTCACCCCATCGTCCTCACCCCACCGCCCTCACCCACCGCCCTCACCCCACCGCCCTCACCCCACCGCCCTCACCCCACCGCCCTCACCCCACCGCCCTCACCCCACCGCCCTCACCCCACCGCCCTCACCCCACCGCGCTCACCCCACCGCTCTCACCCCACCGCCCTCACCCCATCGTCCTCACCCCACCGCTCTCACCCCACCGCCCTCACCCCACCGCCCTCACCCCATCATCCTCACCCCTACCGGCCCTCACCCCACTACCCTCACCCCATCATCCTCATCCCATCGCCCTCACCCCTGCCGGCCCTCACCTGCTCGAACTCCTCGGCCTTGTAGAGGCCTGGCACCTCTCCGCTGCTCAGGATGTTGTTGATGTCCTCCAGGAAGGCCTCGTGGGGGATCTGCGCGTCGGTCAGGATGAACACCGTCGCCCGGTTCTCCACGCCCGCCTGCCAGTACAGCCGCTTCAGATCTGCGTGCGCACGGAGACACACGCACGCACAGAGACACACGCACGCACAGAGACACATGCACGCACGCATAGAGACACACGCACAGAGACACACGCACGCACGGAGACACACGCACGCACGCACAGAGACACACGCACAGAGACACACGCACGCACGGAGACACACGCACGCACGGAGACACACGCACGGAGACACACGCACGCACAGAGACACACGCACACACGCATAGAGACACACGCACAGAGACACACGCACGCACAGAGACACATGCACGCACGCACAGAGACACACGCACGCACGGAGACACACGCACGCACGGAGACACACGCACGCACAGAGACACACGCACGCACAGAGACACACGCACGCACAGAGACACACGCACAGAGACACACGCACGCACAGAGACACACGCACGCACAGAGACACACGCACGCACAGAGACACACGCACGCACGGAGACACACACACGCACGGAGACACACGCACGCACGGAGACACACGCACAGAGACACACGCATGCACAGAGACACACGCACGCACGGAGACACACACACGCACAGAGACACACGCACGCACGGAGACGCACGCACGCATAGAGACACACGCACGGAGACACACGCACGCACAGAGACACACGCACACATGCACAGAGACACACGCACGCATGGAGACACACGCACGCACAGAGACACACGCACGCATGGAGACACACGCACGCACAGAGACACACGCACGCACAGAGACACACGCACAGAGACACACGCACGCACAGAGACACACGCACGCACGGAGACACACGCACGCACAGAGACACACGCACGCACGGAGACACACGCACGCACAGAGACACACGCACGCACAGAGACACACGCACGCACAGAGACACACGCACGCACGGAGACACACGCACGCACAGAGACACACGCACGCACAGAGACACACGCACAGAGACACACGCATGCACAGAGACACACGCACGCACAGAGACACACGCACGCACGGAGACACACGCACGCACAGAGACACACGCACGCACGGAGACACACGCACGCACGGAGACACACGCACGCACAGAGACACACGCACGCACAGAGACACACGCACGCACGGAGACACACGCACGCACAGAGACACACGCACGCACAGAGACACACGCACGCACAGAGACACACGCACGCACGGAGACACACGCACGCACAGAGACACACGCACGCACGGAGACCCGGGGACTCACACAGAGACCCGGTGACCTGGTGAACCCAGTAACCCGGTGACCAGGTGGCCTGGTGAACCCTGTGACCCGGTGAACCCTGTGACCCGATGAACCCAGCGACTTGGTGACCCCGTGACCCGGTGTACCCCAGTGACCCAGTGGCTTGGTGGACTGGTGACCCGGTGATACCTCGGTGACACCTCGGTGAACCCAGTGACCCCGGTGACCCCGGTGACCCCCCCCGGCGGGCCCGACCGCCGGCCCGATGGGGTAGCCCACCCACCGTCGCGGAATTCCTGCTGGCGGTAGTGCCGGGTGACCTCGATGTGGAACACGGAGCACCGGCACAGGTAGGCGGCAAGGCGCGCCAGGCTCTGCCGCCCGCTGCCGCCAATGCCGACCAGGAGCATGTTGCCCCGGGGTTGGCGGATCACCCGCACGATGCGCGTCACTGGGGGCCGGGGCGGGGGGGAGGGGGGGGAGAGATCACGACGTGGTGGCTAGGAGATGTTGACTTCCTCGCCTGGTACGCAGGAGGTCGTGGGCTCGATCCCGACCCTGACAATGCCTGCTGCTGTAGATTTGGAGTCTGCGTGTCTCTCTCTCTCTCATCATCATCATCATGGTGGCTAGGAGATGTTAACTACCTCACCTGGTAGGCAGGAGGTCGTGGGTTCGATCCAGACCCTGACGATGTCTGCTGCTGCTGCTGTATATTTGGAGTCTGCGTGTCTCTCTCATCATCATCGTCACGGTGGCTAGGAGATGTTGACTACCTCGCCTGGTACGCAGGAGGTCGTGGGTTCGATCCCAACCCTGACGATGCCTGCTGCTGTATATTTGGAGTCTGTGTGTCTCTCTCTCATCATCATCACGGTGGCTAGGAGATGTTGACTACCTCGCCTGGTACGCAGGAGGTCGTGGGATCGATCCCGACCCTGACGATGCCTGCTGCTGTATATTTGGAGTCTCTCTCCTGGTGGTCGCGTGGATTTCTCTCTGGGTCCCTATGGTCTTTCCCCCTCCGCAGTTAGAATCGACGTCACCACGCGTTTAGAGCCTTTGGCTACGGTGGTGATGATGATGATGGTGATGAGTCGCCACTTCGCGTGAGCTGCTGTCATTTGCCAGCAGCTCAGTGGTTCTAGCCTAGGGGCACCCCCAGTGGCAGCTGTCCCTGTGCATCAGTCTGTCAGTAGTAGGGGGTGGTGATGATTGTTGTTGTGTGGTTCTAGCCTAGGGGCACCCCCAGTGGCAGCTGTCCCTGTGCATCAGTCTGTCAGTAGTAGGGGTGGTGATGATTGTTGCTGCTGTGTGGGTCTAGCCTAGGGGGCACCCCCAGTGGCAGCTGTCCCTGTGCATCAGTCTGTCAGTAGTAGGGGTGGTGATGATTGGCTGCTGTGTGGGTCTAGCCTAGGGGGCACCCCCAGTGGCAGCTGTCTCTGTGTGTGGCACGAGATGTGGCACAAGGAATGTCCAACAGTGCTCAGCCTAGTCCAGACCACCGGCTCTACAAAACTAAATGTGCGTGTCTGTGTGTGTGCACCCTAGTCAGAGGTTGGAGTGGGTGGAGGTGGGAATTAGGTAGAGGTGGGTGGAGATGGATGGAGGTGAGTGGATGTGGGTGTGCGGAGGTGGGTGGAGGTGGAGTTGGGTGGAGGTGGGTGGAGATGGATGTGGGTGGGTGGAGGTTGAGGTGGATGGAGGTGGGTGGAGGTACGTGGAGGTTGAGGTGGGTGGAGGTGGGTGGGTGGAGGTTGAGGTGGATGGAGGTGGGTGGAGGTACGTGGAGGTGGGTGGAGGTGGAGTTGGGTGGAGGTGGGTGGAGATGGATGTGGGTGGGTGGAGGTTGAGGTGGGTGGAGGTACGTGGAGGTTGAGGTGGGTGGGTGGAGGTTGAGGTGGATGGAGGTGGGTGGAGGTACGTGGAGGTGGGTGGAGGTGGGTGGGTGGAGGTTGAGGTGGATGGAGGTGGGTGGAGGTACGTGGAGGTGGGTGGGTGGAGGTTGAGGTGGATGGAGGTGGGTGGAGGTACGTGGAGGTGGGTGGAGGTGGGTGGGTGGAGGTTGAGGTGGATGGAGGTTGGTGGAGGTACGTGGAGGTGGGTGGAGGTGGGTGGGTGGAGGTTGAGGTGGATAGAGGTGGGTGGAGGTACGTGAAGGTGGGTGGAGATGGATGTGGGTGGGTGGAGGTTGAGGTGGAAGGAGGTGGGTGGAGGTACGTGGAGGTTGAGGTGGGTGGAGGTGGGTGGGTGGAGGTTGAGGTGGATGGAGGTGGGTGGAGGTGGGTGGGTGGAGGTTGAGGTGGATCGAGGTGGGTGGAGGTACGTGGAGGTGGGTGGAGGTGGGTGGGTGGAGGTTGAGGTGGATGGAGGTGGGTGGAGGTGGGTGGGTGGAGGTTGAGGTCGGTGGAGGTGGGTGGAGGTGGGTGGGTGGAGATTGAGGTGGGTGGGTGAAGGTTGAGGTGGATGGAGGTGGGTGGAGGTGGGTGGGTGGAGGTTGAGGTGGATGGAGGTGGGTGGAGGTGGGTGGGTGGAGGTTGAGGTGGATGGAGGTGGGTGGAGGTGGGTGGAGGTACGTGGAGGTGGGGGGAGGTTGGTGGGTGGAGGTTGAGGTGGGTGAAGGTGGGTGGGTGGAGGTTGAGGTGGATGGAGGTGGGTGGAGGTGGGTGGGTGGAGGTTGAGGTGGGTGGGTGGAGGTTGAGGTGGATGGAGGTGGGTGGAGGTGGGTGGGTGGAGGTTGAGGTGGGTGGGTGGAGGTTGAGGTGGATGGAGGTGGGTGGAGGTGGGTGGGTGGAGGTTGAGTGGAGGTTGAGGTGGATGGAGGTGAGTGGAGGTGGGTGGGTGGAGGTTGAGGTGGGTGGGTGGAGGTTGAGGTGGGTGGAGGTGGGTAGAGGTACGTGGAGGTGGGTGGAGGTTGAGGTGGATGGAGGTGGATGGAGGTGGGTGGAGGTGGGTGGGTGGAGGTTCAGGTGGATGGAGGTGGGTGGAGGTGGGTGGGTGGAGGTTGAAGTGGATGGAGGTGGGTGGAGGTACGTGGAGGTGGGTGGAGGTTGAGGTGGATGGAGGTGAGTGGAGGTGGGTGGGTGGAGGTTGAGGTGGATGGAGGTGGGTGGAGGTGGGTGGGTGGAGGTTGAAGTGGATGGAAGTGGGTGGAGGTACGTGGAGGTGGGTGGAGGTTGAGGTGGATGTAGATGAGTGGAGGTGGGTGGGTGGAGGTTGAGGTGGATGGAGGTGGGTGGAGGTTGGGGTGGGTGGAGGTTGAGGTGGGTGGAGGTGTGTGGGTGGAGGTTGAGGTGGGTGGAGGTGGGTGCATCTGGGCCCGCCCACCGTGCTCGATAGCATCACGGAAGAGTGTGAGGTTCATGGGCAGCACTCCGGGCCTCAGGTTGTAATCCTCCAGCTGCTGCTCCATGAAAATTCGCAGTGCTTGGAAGTCCGTGATGTCCTCATACACCCCCTCCCGCATGAAGTCTCCTGCACAACGTGGGGGGGGGGGGGTCAGAGGGTCAGGGTGGTGATCAGATGGTCAGATGGTCAGGGTGGTGGTCAGATGGTCAGATGGTCAGATGGTCAAGGTGGCGGTCAGTGTGGTGGTCAGAGGGTCAGGGTGGTGGTCAGATGGTCAGGGTGGTGGTCAGATGGTCAGGGTGGTGGTCAGATGGTCAGGGTGGTGGTCAGAGGGTCAGGGTGGTAGTCAGATGGTCAGGGTGGTAGTCAGATGGTCAGGGTGGTGGTCAGATGGTCAGGGTGGTAGTCAGAGGGTCAGTGTGATGGTCAGAGGGTCAGGGTGGAGGTCAGATGGTCAGGGTGGTGGTCAGATGGTCAGGGTGGTAGTCAGATGGTCAGGGTGGTAGTCAGATGGTCAGGGTGGTGGTCAGATGGTCAGGGTGGTAGTCAGATGGTCAGAGGGTCAGGGTGGTGGTCAGATGGTCAGGGTGGTGGTCAGAGGGTCAGATGGTCAGGGTGGTGGTCAGATGGTCAGGGTGGTGATCAGAGGGTCAGGGTGGAGGTCAGATGGTCAGGGTGGTGGTCAGAGTGTCAGGGTGGAGGTCAGATGGTCAGGGTGGTGGTCAGAGGGTCAGGGTGGTGGTCAGATGGTCAGGGTGGTAGTCAGATGGTCAGGGTGGTGGTCAGATGGTCAGGGTGGTGGTCAGAGGGTCAGGGTGGTGGTCAGATGGTCAGGGTGGTGGTCAGAGGGTCAAGGTGGTGGTCAGAGGGTCAGGGTGGTAGTCAGAGAGTCAGCGTGGTCAGATGGTCAGGGTGGTGGTCAGAGGGTCAGGGTGGTGGTCAGATGGTCAGGGTGGTGGTCAGATGGTCAGGGTGGTAGTCAGATGGTGAGGGTGGTAGTCAGATGGTCGTGGGGGTAGTCAGATGGTCAGGGTGGTGGTCAGATGGTCATGGGGGTGGTCAGAGGGTCAGGGTGGTGGTCAGATGGTCAGATGGTCAGGGTGGTGGTCAGAGGGTCAGGGTGGTGGTCAGATGGTCAGCGTGGTAGTCAGATGGTCAGGGTGGTGGTCAGATGGTCAGGGTGGTAGTCAGATGGTCAGGGTGGTGGTCAGATGATCATGGGAGTAGTCAGATGGTCAGGGTGGTAGTCAGATGGTCAGCGTGGTAGTCAGATGGTCAGGGTGGTAGTCAGATGGTCAGCGTGGTAGTCAGATGGTCAGGGTGGTAGTCAGATGGTCAGGGTGGTCGTCAGATGGTTATGGGGGTAGTCAGATGGTCAGGGTGGTGGTCAGATGGTCAGGGTGGTGGTCAGATGGTCAGGGTGGTGGTCAGATGGTCAGTGTGGTAGTCAGATGGTCAGGGTGGGAGTCAGATGGTAAGGGTGGGAGTCAGATGGTCAGGGTGGTGGTCAGATGGTCAGGGTGGTGGTCAGAGGGTCAGGGTGGTGGTCAGATGGTCAGGGTGGGAGTCAGATGGTCAGGGTGGTGGTCAGATGGTCAGGGTGGTAGTCAGATGGTCAGGGTGGTAGTCAGATGGTCAGATGGTCATGGGGGTAGTCAGAGGGTCAGGGTGGTGGTCAGATGGTCAGGGTGGGAGTCAGATGGTCAGGGTGGTGGTCAGATGGTCAGATGGTCATGGGGGTAGTCAGAGGGTCAGGGTGGTGGTCAGATGGTCAGGGTGGTGGTCAGATGGTCAGGGTGGTAGTCAGATGGTCAGATGGTCAGGGTGGTGGTCAGATGGTCAGTGGGTGCTCCTGGCTGCTCCACAAAAACAAAAAGACAAAGATCCCCCGTATAGCCTGAGCGGACAGGTTGGGGCAAGTGCCGCTCGCGATCGCCTACGAAGGCCGGCCCTGTGGCACGCGGGGGGACTAATTTGAGGCCGAGTCGACCTAGGGGAGGGGGCACCAGGGTCCCGGTTCCAGACGATCGTTGCCGGTGTTGGCCGGTGGCCGCGGGAATCGAACTCGGTGTGCCACGGGGCCCGGCCTTCACGGGCGCTCGCTAAACAGCACTTGACCCAACCCGTCTGTTGCAGGCTACACGGGGGACCTTTATCTTTGTGTGTGTGTGTGTGGGGGGTTGGTGGGCTTGCCGATGAGCGGTACCAGCGATGCGGTGGTGCTGCTGGCTACCCCACCCCCTCCTGGCGTGCCACAGTCCCGGCCTTCGCAGGCGTTCGCCAGCTGTCAACCGTTCGCCTGCCCACAATACGCCGTGCACACCACCACCGCACCACCACCGCACCACGACCACCACCGCGACCACCACCGCACCGCTACCACCGCCAACAACCCACCGAAGATGGGCGGCTGTCGGTTCGGGCACAGGTTGTGGTAGGCGAGGTCGAAGGTCGATGCCAGCTTCTCGCTCAGCAGGCCGGTGAAGGCCTCGGTGTCCGACTCGTCGACGAGACGGTCGGAGAACACCCTGGGGCATCCGCAGACCTCGTTAGCGGCAGCAGTAGTGGTAGCAGGAGTATCAGTGGTAGGAGTGTAGTAGTGGTAGTAGTAGTATCAGTGGTAGTAGTGGTAGTAGGAGTGGTAGTATTAGTGGTAGTAGGAGTGGTAGTAGTAGTGGTAGTAGGAGTATCAGTGGTAGGAGTAGTGTAGTAGTGGTAGGAGTAGTGGTAGTAGTAGTGGTAGTAGGAGTATCAGTGGTAGGAGTAGTGGTAGTAGTAGTAGTAGTATCAGTGGTAGGAGTGTAGTAGTGGTAGTAGTAGTATCAGTGGTAGGAGTAGTGGTAGTAGTAGTAGGAGTAGTGGTAGTAGTAGTGGTAGTAGTAGTGGTAGTAGGAGTATCAGTGGTAGGAGTAGTGTAGTAGTGGTAGGAGTAGTGGTAGTAGGAGTATCAGTGGTAGTAGGAGTATCAGTGGTAGTAGGAGTATCAGTGGTAGAAGTAGTATCAGTGGTAGTAGAAGTATCAGTGGTAGAAGTAGTATCAGTGGTAGTAGGAGTATCAGTGGTAGGAGTAGTGTAGTAGTGGTAGGAGTAGTGGTAGTAGTAGTGGTAGTAGGAGTATCAGTGGTAGGAGTAGTGTAGTAGTGGTAGTAGTAGTGGTAGTAGGAGTATCAGTGGTAGGAGTAGTGTAGTAGTGGTAGGAGTAGCAGTAGTGGTAGTAGTAGTGGTAGTAGTAGTATCAGTGGTAGGAGTAGTGTAGTAGTGGTAGGAGTAGTGGTAGTAGTAGTAGGAGTATCAGTGGTAGGAGTAGTGTAGTAGTGGTAGGAGTAGTGGTAGTAGTAGTGGTAGTAGGAGTATCAGTGGTAGGAGTAGTGTAGTAGTGGTAGGAGTAGTGGTAGTAGTAGTGGTAGTAGGAGTATCAGTGGTAGGAGTAGTGTAGTAGTGGTAGTAGTAGTATCAGTGGTAGGAGTAGTGTAATAGTGGTAGGAGTAGTGGTAGTAGTAGTGGTAGTAGGAGTATCAGTGGTAGTAGGAGTATCAGTGGTAGAAGTAGTGTAGTAGTGGTAGTAGTGGTAGTAGTAGTATCAGTGGTAGGAGTAGTGTAATAGTGGTAGGAGTAGTGGTAGTAGTAGTGGTAGTAGTAGCAGTAGCGGTAGGAGTAGTGGTAGTAGTAGTGGTAGTAGTAGTGGTAGTAGTAGTGGTAGTAGTAGTATCAGTGGTAGGAGTAGTGTAGTAGTGGTAGTAGTAGTGGTAGTAGTGGTAGTAGGAGTATCAGTGGTAGGAGTAGTGTAGTAGTGGTAGGAGTAGTGGTAGTAGTAGTGGTAGTAGTAGTATCAGTGGTAAGAGTAGTGTAATAGTGGTAGTAGTAGTGGTAGTAGGAGTATCAGTGGTAGGAGTAGTGTAGTAGTGGTAGTAGTGGTAGTAGTAGTAGTATCAGTGGTAGTAGGAGTATCAGTGGTAGAAGTAGTGTAGTAGTGGTAGTAGTAGTAGTAGCATCAGTGGTAGGAGTAGTGTAGTAGTGGTAGGAGTAGTGTAGTAGTGGTAGGAGTAGTGGTAGTAGTAGTGGTAGTAGGAGTATCAGTGGTAGTAGGAGTGGTAGTAGTAGTGGTAGTAGGAGTATCAGTGGTAGGAGTAGTGTAGTAGTGGTAGGAGTAGTGGTAGTAGTAGTGGTAGTAGTAGTATCAGTGGTAGGAGTAGTGTAGTAGTGGTAGTAGTAGTGGTAGTAGTAGTGGTAGTAGGAGTATCAGTGGTAGGAGTAGTGTAGTAGTGGTAGTAGTAGTAGTAGTGGTAGTAGGAGTATCAGTGGTAGGAGTAGTGTAGTAGTGGTAGGAGTAGTGGTAGTAGGAGTATCAGTGGTAGTAGGAGTATCAGTGGTAGTAGGAGTATCAGTGGTAGAAGTAGTATCAGTGGTAGTAGGAGTATCAGTGGTAGAAGTAGTATCAGTGGTAGTAGGAGTATCAGTGGTAGGAGTAGTGTAGTAGTGGTAGGAGTAGCAGTAGTGGTAGTAGTAGTGGTAGTAGTAGTATCAGTGGTAGGAGTAGTGTAGTAGTGGTAGGAGTAGTGGTAGTAGTAGTGGTAGTAGGAGTATCAGTGGTAGGAGTAGTGTAGTAGTGGTAGGAGTAGTGGTAGTAGTAGTGGTAGTAGGAGTATCAGTGGTAGGAGTAGTGTAGTAGTGGTAGGAGTAGCAGTAGTGGTAGTAGTAGTGGTAGTAGTAGTATCAGTGGTAGGAGTAGTGTAGTAGTGGTAGGAGTAGTGGTAGTAGTAGTGGTAGTAGGAGTATCAGTGGTAGGAGTAGTGTAGTAGTGGTAGGAGTAGTGGTAGTAGTAGTGGTAGTAGGAGTATCAGTGGTAGGAGTAGTGTAGTAGTGGTAGGAGTAGTGGTAGTAGTAGTGGTAGTAGTAGTATCAGTGGTAGGAGTAGTGTAGTAGTGGTAGTAGTAGTAGTATCAGTGGTAGGAGTAGTGTAATAGTGGTAGGAGTAGTGGTAGTAGTAGTAGGAGTATCAGTGGTAGTAGGAGTATCAGTGGTAGAAGTAGTGTAGTAGTGGTAGTAGTAGTATCAGTGGTAGGAGTAGTGTAATAGTGGTAGGAGTAGTGGTAGTAGTAGTGGTAGTAGTAGCAGTAGCGGTAGGAGTAGTGGTAGTAGTAGTGGTAGTAGTAGTGGTAGTAGTAGTGGTAGTAGTAGTATCAGTGGTAGGAGTAGTGTAGTAGTGGTAGTAGTAGTGGTAGTAGTGGTAGTAGGAGTATCAGTGGTAGGAGTAGTGTAGTAGTGGTAGGAGTAGTGGTAGTAGTAGTGGTAGTAGTAGTATCAGTGGTAAGAGTAGTGTAATAGTGGTAGTAGTAGTGGTAGTAGGAGTATCAGTGGTAGGAGTAGTGTAGTAGTGGTAGGAGTAGTGGTAGTAGTGGTAGTAGTAGTGGTAGTAGTAGTAGTGGTAGTAGTAGTATCAGTGGTAGTAGGAGTATCAGTGGTAGAAGTAGTGTAGTAGTGGTAGTAGTAGTAGTAGTAGCATCAGTGGTAGGAGTAGTGTAGTAGTGGTAGGAGTAGTGTAGTAGTGGTAGGAGTAGTGGTAGTAGTAGTGGTAGTAGGAGTATCAGTGGTAGTAGGAGTGGTAGTAGTGGTAGTAGTAGTGGTAGTAGGAGTATCAGTGGTAGGAGTAGTGTAGTAGTGGTAGGAGTAGTGGTAGTAGTAGTGGTAGTAGTAGTATCAGTGGTAGGAGTAGTGTAGTAGTGGTAGTAGTAGTGGTAGTAGTAGTGGTAGTAGGAGTATCAGTGGTAGGAGTAGTGTAGTAGTGGTAGGAGTAGTGGTAGTAGTAGTGGTAGTAGGAGTATCAGTGGTAGGAGTAGTGTAGTAGTGGTAGGAGTAGTATCAGTGGTAGGAGTAGTGTAGTAGTGGTAGGAGTAGTGGTAGTAGTAGTGGTAGTAGTAGTATCAGTGGTAGGAGTAGTGTAGTAGTGGTAGTAGTAGTGGTAGTAGTAGTGGTAGTAGGAGTATCAGTGGTAGGAGTAGTGTAGTAGTGGTAGTAGTAGTGGTAGTAGTAGTGGTAGTAGGAGTATCAGTGGTAGGAGTAGTGTAGTAGTGGTAGGAGTAGTGGTAGTAGTAGTGGTAGTAGTAGCATCAGTGGTAGGAGTAGTGTAGTAGTGGTAGGAGTAGTGGTAGTAGTAGTGGTAGTATTAGTGGTAGGAGTAGTGGTAGTAGTAGTGTTAGTAGTAGCATCAGTGGTAGGAGTAGTGTAGTAGTGGTAGGAGTAGTGGTAGTAGCAGTGGTAGTAGTAGCAGTAGCGGTAGGAGTAGTGGTAGTAGTAGTGGTAGTAGTAATGGTAGCAGTAGTATCAGTGGTAGGAGTAGTGTAGTAGTGGTAGGAGTAGTGGTAGTAGGAGTGGTAGTAGTAGCAGTAGCGGTAGGAGTAGTAGTAGTGTTAGTAGTAGCATCAGTGGTAGGAGTAGTGTAGTAGTGGTAGGAGTAGTGGTAGTAGCAGTGGTAGTAGTAGCAGTAGCGGTAGGAGTAGTGGTAGTAGTAGTGGTAGTAGGAGTATCAGTGGTAGGAGTAGTGTAGTAGTGGTAGGAGTAGTGGTAGTAGGAGTGGTAGTAGTAGCAGTAGCGGTAGGAGTAGTGGTAGTAGTAGTGGTAGTAGTAGTGGTAGCAGTAGTATCAGTGGTAGGAGTAGTGTAGTAGTGGTAGGAGTAGTGGTAGTAGGAGTATCAGTGGTAGGAGTAGTGTAGTAGTGGTAGTAGTAGCAGTGGTGGTAGTAGTAGTGGTAGTAGTAGCATCAGTGGTAGTAGTGTAGTAGTGGTAGGAGTAGTGGTAGTAGTAGTGGTAGTAGTAGTGGTGGTAGGAGTATCAGTGGTAGGAGTAGTGTAGTAGTGGTAGGAGTAGTGGTAGTAGTATCAGTGGTAGGAGTAGTGTAGTAGTGGTAGGAGTAGTGGTAGTAGTAGTGGTAGTAGTAGCAGTAGCGGTAGGAGTAGTGGTAGTAGTAGTGGTAGTAGTAGCATCAGTGGTAGGAGTAGTGTAGTACTGGTAGGAGTAATGGTAGTAGCAGTGGTAGTAGTAGCAGTAGCGGTAGGAGTAGTGGTAGTAGTAGTGGTAGTAGGAGTATCAGTGGTAGGAGTAGTGTAGTAGTGGTAGGAGTAGTGGTAGTAGTAGTGGTAGTAGTAGCAGTAGCGGTAGGAGTAGTGGTAGTAGTAGTGGTAGTAGTATCAGTGGAAGGAGTAGTGTAGTAGTGGTAGGAGTAGTGGTAGTAGGAGTATCAGCGGTAGGATTAGTGTAGTAGTGGTAGTAGTAGCAGTGGTGGTAGTAGTAGTGGTAGTAGTAGCATCAGTGGTAGGAGTAGTGTAGTAGTGGTAGTAGTAGTGGTAGTAGTAGTGGTAGTAGTAGTGGTAGTAGGAGTATCAGTGGTAGGAGTAGTGTAGTAGTGGTAGGAGTAGTGGTAGTAGTAGTGGTAGTAGTAGTGGTAGTAGGAGTATCAGTGGTAGGAGTAGTGTAGTAGTGGTAAGAGTAGTGGTAGTAGTAGTGGTAGTAGTAACAGTAGCGGTAGGAGTAGTGGTAGGAGTAGTGGTAGTAGTAGTGGTAGTAGGCGTATCAGTGGTAGGAGTAGTGTAGTAGTGGTAGGAGTAGTGGTAGTATTAGTGGTAGTAGTAGCAGTAGCAGTAGGAATAGTGGTAGTAGTAGTGGTAGTAGTGGTAGTAGGAGTATCAGTGGTAGGAGTAGTGTAGTAGTGGTAGTAGTAGTGGTAGTAGTAGTATCAGTGGTAGGAGTAGTGGTAGTAATAGTGGTAGTAGTAGCAGTAGCAGTAGTAGTGGTAGTAGTAGTGGTAGTAGTAGTATCAGTGGTAGGAGTAGTGTAGTAGTGGTAGGAGTAGTGGTAGTAGTGGTAGTAGTAGTGGTAGTAGTAGTAGCAGTAGTGGTAGGAGTAGTGGTAGGAGTAGTGGTAGTAGTAGTGGTAGTAGTAGCAGTAGTGGTAGTAGTAGTGGTAGTAGTAGTGGTAGTAGCAGTAGTGGTAGGTGTAGTGGTAGGAGTAGTGGTAGTAGTAGTGGTAGTAGTAGCAGTAGCGGTAGGAGTAGTGGTAGTAGTGGTAGTAGCAGTGGTAGTTAGTGGTAGTAGTAGTGGTAGTAGCAGTAGCGGTAGTATTAGCAGTGGTAGTAGCAGTAGTGGTAGTAGTAGTAGCAGTGGTATTAGCAGTAGTGGTAGTAGTGGTAATAGTCGCAGTGGTAGCAGTGGTAGTAGTAGTGGTAGTAGTAGTGGTAGTAGTAGTGGCAATAGTTGGTAGTAGCAGTAGTACCATCAGCATCGGCACCAACACCATCATTAGCAATAGTGTCAGCATCAGGCTGGTGATGTTGGTGTTGTTGGTGAGAGTGGCGGTGTTGGTGATGTTGGTGAGGGTGGCGGGGTTGGTGATGTTGGTGAGGGTGGCGGTGTTGGTGATGTTGGTGAGGGTGGTGATGTTGGTGATGTTGGTGAGGGTGGCGGTGTTGGTGATGTTGGTGAGGGTGGCGGGGTTGGTGATGTTGGTGAGGGTGGCGGTGTTGGTGATGTTGGTGAGGGTGGTGATGTTGGTGATGTTGGTGAGGGTGGCGGTGTTGGTGATGTTGGTGAGGGTGGCGGTGTTGGTGATGTTGGTGAGGGTGGCGGTGTTGGTGATGTTGGTGAGGGTGGCGGTGTTGGTGATGTTGGTGAGGGTGGCGGTGTTGGTGATGTTGGTGAGGCCGGCGGTGTTGGTGATGTTGGTGAGACTGGTGATGTTGGTGATGTTGGTGATGGTGGCGGTGTTGGTGATGTTGGTGAGGCTGACGGTGTTGGTGATGTTGGTGAGACTGGTGATGTTGGTGATGTTGGTGAGGGTGGCGGTGTTGGTGTTGTTGGTGATGTTGGTGGGGCTGGTGGTGTTGGTGATGTTGGTGAGGGTGGTGGTGTTGGTGATGTTGGTGAGGGTGGTGGTGTTGGTGATGTTGGTGAGGGTGGCGGTGTTGGTGATGTTGGTGAGGCTGGCGGTGTTGGTGATGTTGGTGAGGTCGGCGGTGAGGTTAGCCGCACGCCGTAGAGCGGTTGAGGTGCTGCCGGGCTGCCGCTCACCTGAAACATTCGTGCACCCAGAGTCTCGCGACGCTCGCCTTGTTGTCGTGGAAGTCCTTGTGAGCGCGCAGCATCCCCTGGAAGACCTGCACCACCATCATCACCACCATCACCACCATCATCATCATCACCACCATCATCATCATCATCACCACCATCACCACCATCATCACCACCATCACCACCACCACCATCACCACCATCATCATCATTCTCATCACCATCACCACCATCATCACCACCATCACCACCACCATCACCACCACCATCACCACCATCACCACCACCATCATCATCATCACCACCATCATCATTCTCACCATCATCACCACCATTACCATCATCACCACCATCACCACCATCATCATTATCACCAGCACCACCATCACCAGCACCACCATCATCACCACCATCACCACCATCATCATCATCATCATCACCACCATCACCACCATCACCACCACCATCACCACCATCATCATCATCATCATTCTCACCATCACCACCATCACCACCACCATCATCATCATTCTCATCACCATCACCACCACCATCATCATCATCATTCTCACCATCATCACCACCATCATCATCATCATTCTCATCACCGTCACCATCACCACCACCATCATCATCATCACCACCACCACCACCATCATCACCACGATCATTATCATTCTCATCACCGTCACCACCATCATCATCATCATCACCACCATCACCACCATCATCATCATCATCATTCTCACCATCATCACCACCATCACCACCATCACCATCATCATCACCACCATCATCATCATCATCACCACCATCACCACCATCACCATCATCATCACCATCATCACCACCATCACCACCATCACCACCACCACCATCATCATCATCACCATCATCATCACCACCATCACCACCACCACCACCACCATCACCACCACCATCATCACCATCATCACCACCATCATCATTCTCACCACCACCATCACCAGCATCACCACTAGCACCACCATCATCACCACCACCATCATCACCATCATCACCACTAGCACCACCATCATCATTATCACCAGCATCACCACCATCACCACAGCACCATCACCACCATCATCACCATCACCACCATCACCACCATCATTATCACCATTACCATCACCAGCATCACCACTAGCACCACCATCATCACCACCATCATCACCATCATCACCACTAGCACCACCATCATCATTATCACCATCACCACCATCACCATCACCACCATCACCACCATCATCACCATCACCACCATCATTATCACCACCATCATTATCACCATCACCATCATCACCACCATCACCACCATCATCATCATCACCATCATCACCACCATCACCACTATCACCACCACCACCATCATCATCACCACCATCATCATCATCACCATCATCACCACCATCATCACCACCATCACCACCATCATCACCACCACCACCACCACCATCATCATCATTCTCACCATCATCATCCTTCTCACCATCATCACCACCATCACCACCATCATCACCATCATCACCACCATCATCATTCTCACCACCACCATCACCAGCATCACCACTAGCACCACCATCATCACCATCATCACCACTAGCACCACCATCATCATTATCACCAGCATCACCACCATCACCACAGCACCATCACCACCATCATCACCATCACCACCATCACCACCATAATTATCACCAGCATCACCACTAGCACCACCATCATCACCACCATCATCACCATCATCACCACTAGCACCACCATCATCATTATCACCAGCATCACCACCATCACCACAGCACCATCACCACCATCATCACCATCACCACCATCACCACCATCATTATCACCAGCATCACCACTAGCACCACCATCATCACCACCATCATCACCATCATCACCATCACCACCATCACCACCATCATCATCACCATCACCACCATCATTATCACCATCACCAGCATCACCACTAGCACCACCATCATCACCACCACCATCATCACCATCATCACCACTAGCACCACCATCATCATTATCACCAGCACCACCATCACCAGCATCACCAGCATCACCATCATCACCACAGCACCATCACAGCACCATCGCCACCACCATCATCATCACCACCATCATCATCACCATCACCATCACCACCACCATCATCACCATCACCACCATCATTATCACCACCACCATCACCACCATCACCACCATCATCATCATCACCACCACCATCATCATCATTATCACCATCACCACCATCACCACCATCATTATCACCATCACCAGCATCACCACTAGCACCACTAACATCATCACCATCACCACCAACATCATCACCATCACTATCATCATCATCACCATCATCACCACCATCATCATTATCACCATCACCACCATCACCACCATCATTATCACCATCACCAGCATCACCACTAGCACCACCAACATCATCACCATCACCACCACCATCACCACCACCATCATCACCATCACTATCATCATCACCACCATCATCATCATCATCACCACCACCATCACCATCACCACCATCATCATCATCACCATCACCACCATCATCATCACCATCACCACCATCATCACCATCACCACGGCACCATCACGGCGCCATCTCACTGCTGCTGCTGCTGATGATGTTGATGTAGATGATGACATCACCTTGGAGATGTCCCTGAGGTTGAACAGGTAGCGGCTCCTACTGCTGATGATGCTGAACCTACTGCTGATGATGCTGATGATGCTGATGATGCTGATGATGCTGAACCTACTGCTGACGATGCTGATGACGCTGATGATCCTACTGCTGATGATGCTGCTGCTGCTGATGATGCTGCTGATGATGATTATGCTGATGCTGCTGACGATGGCATCATCTTGGAGATGTCCCTGAGGTTGAACAGGTAGCGGCTCCTACTACTGCTGACGATGATGATGACGATGACGATGATGATGCTGATGATGATGATGGCATCACCTTGGAGATGTCCCTGAGGTTGAACAGGTAGCGGCTCCTACTGCTGCTGCTGCTGGTGATGCTGGTGGTGATGATGATGATGATGCTGATGGCATCACCTTGGAGATGTCCCTGAGGTTGAACAGGTAGCGGCTCCTACTGCTGATGACGCTAATGACGCTGATGATGATGATGCTGATGCTGATGGCATCACCTTGGAGATGTCCCTGAGGTTGAACAGGTAGCGGCTCCTACTGCTGATGACGCTAATGACGCTGATGATGCTGATGCTGATGGCATCACCTTGGAGATGTCCCTGAGGTTGAACAGGTAGCGGCTCCTACTGCTGATGACGCTAATGATGCTGATGATGATGGCGTCACCTTGGAGATGTCCCTGAGGTTGAACAGGTAGTGCGTCTTGCTGGGCGTGGGCAGGAACCGCGCCACCACGGCGCCGTACAGCTGCACGGTGGCCGCGGTCAGCACGCCGGCAAGGGGCCGCACCTCCTCCTCAAAGTCCTGCAGCTTCTGGTTGAGCAGCGTCCCGAAGATGCCGGCGATCTGCTCGTCCTGAGCGAGAGAGAGAGAGAGACGAGGGGGGGAGAGTGGTGTTGTTGTTGTGGTTGTGGTGGCTGTTGTTGTTGTGGTGTTGTTGTTGTGGTGTGTCTGTCGTTGTTCTGGTGGTGCGGTTGTTGTGGTTGTGGTGTGGCTGATGTTGTTGTGGTGGTGGTGTTGTTGTTGTTGTGTTGTGGCTGTTGTTGTTGTGGTGTTGTTGTTGTGGTGTGGCTGTTGTTGTTGTTGTTGTGGTTGTGGTGGTGGTGTTGTTGTTGTTGTGGCTGCTGTTGTTGTGGCTGCTGTTGTTGTTGTGGTGTTGTTGTTGTGGTGGTGGTGTGGATGTTGTTGTTGTGGTGTGGCTGTTATTGTTGTGGTGTGGCTACTGTTGTTGTGGTTGTGGCTGTTGTTGTGGTTGTGGCCGCTGCTGTTGTTGTTGTTGTGGCTGCTGTTGTTGTGGTTGTGGTGTGGTTGCTGCTGCTGTTGTTGTTGTGGTTGTGGTGTGGCTGTTGCTGTTGTTGTGGTGTGGCTGCTGTTGTTGTTGTTGTTGTGGTGGCTGTTGTTGTTGTGGTGTTGTTGTTGTGGTGTTTCTGTTGTTGTTCTGGTGGTGCGGTTGTTGTGGTTGTGGTGTGGCTGATGTTGTTGTGGTGTTGTTGTTGTGGTTGTGTTGTGGCTGTTGTTGTTGTGGTTGTGGTGTGGCTGTTGTTGTGGTTGTGGTGGTGTTGTTGTTGTGGTTGTGGTGTTGTTGTTGTGGTGTGGCTGTTGTTGTTGTTGTGGTGGTGGTGTTGTTGTTGTTGTGTGGCTGTTGTTGTTGTTGTTGTGGTTGTGGTGGTGTGGCTGCTGTTGTTGTTGTTGTGGTGGTGGTGTGGATGTTGTTGTTGTGGTGTGGCTGTTGTTGTTGTGGTTGTGGTGTTGTTCTTGTGGTTGCGGTGTTGTTGTTGGTGTTGTGGTGTTGTGGTCGTGGTGTGGCTGTTGTGGTTGTGGTGTTGTTGTTGTGGTGTGGCTACTGTTGTTGTGGCTGTTGTTGTGGTGTGGCCGCTGCTGTTGTTGTTGTGGCTGCTGTTGTTGTGTGGTGTGGCTGCTGTTGTTGTGGTTGTGGTGTGGTTGCTGCTGCTGTTGTTGTTGTGGTTGTGGTGTGGCTGTTGCTGTTGTTGTGGTGTGGCTGCTGTTGTTGTTGTTGTGGCTGCTGTTGTGGTTGTGGTGTGGCTGCTGTTGTTGTTGTGGTGTGTCTGTTGTTCTGGTGGTGTGGTTGTTGTGGTTGTGGTGTGGCTGCTGTTGTTGTTGTGGCTGTTGTTGTGGCTGCTGTTGTTGTGGTGTGGCTGTTGTTGTGGTGTGGCTGCTGTTGTTGTTGTGGCTGTTGTTGTGGTTGTTGTGGTTGTGGTGTGGCTGTTGTTGTTGTGGTGTGGCTGTTGTTGTTGTCCAGGCGGGGCGTGACAGTGCGAAAGCCGTTCAACACACTACACTATACACTACACTATACACTACACTACACACTACTATACACTACTCTATACACTACACTATACACTGCACTATACACTACACTATACACTACACTATACACTACACTATACACTACACTACAATATACACTACACTATACACTACACTATGCACTACACTATACACTACACTATACACTACACTAATATACACTACACTACACACTATAATACACTACACTATACACTATAATACACTACACTATAATACACTACACTATACACTACACACTATAAAACACTACACTATACACTATAATACACTACACTATACACTACACTATACACTACACACGACACTATACACTATAATACACTACACTATACACTACACTATACACTATAATACACTACACTATACACTACACACTATAATACACTACACTGTACACGACACTCTAAGGGTCGCGTCACGCAAACAGGGCGTGGCCAAGCAGCACCACCGCGCCGTCCGCTACTACCCTGGGGAAGGTGACGTTGATGACGTTGAAGCTACTCTGCAGGCGAGGGGAGATGTCCGTTCGGCCACCGCCTGGGGGTCCCATGGCCCCCAGCAGGAACATGTCCTGCGGGGGTGGTGGGTGGGTTGGGTGGGGGGGTGGTGGGGGGGTGGTGGGGGGGAGGTGGGTGGGTGGGATGAGAGGGTGGTGGTGGTGGGGGGGTGAACGCGTGGATCTCCGTTTATTCGCTCGAACGCGTTTTTAGGCTCAGCCTCATCTCGACTCATCGAGAGAGAAGGGGGGTAGAGAGAGAGAGGGGGGTAGAGAGAGAGAGGGGGGGTAGAGAGAGGGGTAGAGAGAAGGGGGGGTAGAGAGAGAGGGGGGTGGAGAGAGAGGGGGGTAGAGAGAGAGAGGTAGAGAGAGAGAGGGGGGTAGAGAGAGAGGGGGGGTAGAGAGAGAGAGGGGGTAGAGAGAGAGGGGGGGGTAGAGAGAGAGGGGGTAGAGAGAGAGAGAGGGGTAGAGAGAGAGAGAGGGGTAGAGAGAGAGGGGGGGTAGAGAGAGGGGTAGAGAGAGAGAGAGGGGTAGAGAGAGAGAGAGAGGGGTAGAGAGAGAGGGGGTAGAGAGAGAGGGGGGGGTAGAGAGAGAGGGGGGTAGAGAGAGAAGGGGATAGAGAGAGAGGGGGTAGAGATAGAGGGGGGCAGAGAGGGGGGTAGAGAGAATTCTTTCGTGAAATCTTTCATTAAAAAAGGGGTGGGGGGGGGGGAGGTTACATAAAGTAAAGCGTTGAAAACCCCCCCCCCAAAAAAACCGAAATGATGAACGAAGCAAAGTGCCGACTGCACCGAGCATCTTCTCGTTTCCTCTGATCGTAAAAAATAAACAGAGAGAGAGAGAGTGAGGGGGGCTGCGGAGCAAATCACTGCAGTTTGGCGGGCCCTGATTATTGAATGTGGGCAAGAGAGAGAGAGAGAGAAAGGAGAGAGATGGATATGGGGCATTACTGACACAGACGCCCACAGACTCATGGAGACCCATAGACTCACAAAGAGACCCAGGGTTATTGAATGTGGGCATGAGAGAGCGAGAGAAAGGAGAGAGATGGGTACGGGGCATTACCGTGGGTTACGTGGGTGACTTGGGTTGCTAGGTGAGTACATGGACACGAAGGTAGTATGGTGGGTGGCTGGGTGGGTGGTTGTTCGGTGGCTAGGCTGGGTCAGCGGATCGGTGGGCAGGAGGCGGTTGAATAGGTGGCTTGGTAGGTCGGTAAGTTCGTGGGCAGATTGGTGGTTGGATGGGTGCGTCGGTAGGTGCATACTTCGGTAGGGGCTAACACAGAGACCCTGAGACTGACACAGACGCCCACAGACTCATGGAGACCCATAGACTCACAAAGAGACCCAGGGTTATTGAATGTGGGCATGAGAGCGCGAGAGAAAAGAGAGAGATGGGTACGGGGCATTACTGTGGGTTACGTGGGTGACTTGGGTTGGTAGGCGAATAGATGGGTGGCTGGGTGGGTGGTTGGGTGGGTGAGTGGGTCGACGATTCCATGTTTTTGTAGGGGCTCACACAGAAAGCCTGGGACTCACACAGAGACCCACAGACTCATACAGATACCCATAGACTCACACAGAGACCCACAGACTCATACAGATACCCATAGACTTGCAGAGACCCATAGGCTCACACAAAGACACAGACTCACATAGAGACCCACAGACTCACACACACATACCCCCACACAGAGACCTATAGACTCATACACAAAGACTCACACAGAGACCCACAGACTCACACACAAAACTCACAGACTCACACAGAAATCCTGGGACTCACACAGAGACCCACAGACTCATACAGATACCCATAGACTCACACAGAGACCCACAGACTCATACAAATACCCATAGACTCGCACAGAGACCCATAGACTCACACAAAGACACAGACTCACACAGAGACCGACAGACTCACACACAGAGACCCATAGACTCACACAGATACCCACAGACTCACACAGAGACCCACGGACTCACACAAAGACACATAGACTCACACAGAGACCGACAGACTCACACAAAGAGACCCATATACTCACACAGATACCCACAGACTCACACAGAGACCCACAGACTCACACAGAGACCCACAGACTCACACACATACCCACACACAGAGACCCATAGACTCACACACAAAGACTCACACAGAGACCCACAGAGTCACACACAAAGACTCACACACAGAGTCACATAGACTCATACAGTGACACAGAGTCACACAGAGACCCACAGACCCACACACAGAGACCCATAGACTCACACACAAAGACTCACACAGAGACCCACAGAGTCACACACAAAGACTCACACACAGAGTCACATAGACTCATACAGTGACACAGAGTCACACAGATACCCACAGACTCACACAGAGACCCACAGACTCGCACAGATACCCATAGACTCACAGAGAAACCCATAGACTAATAGATACCCACAGACTTACAGTGACGCATAGACTCACACACAGAGACTCACACAGAGACCCACAGACTCACACACATAGACTCACAGAGAGACCCACAGACTCACACAGAGACACAGAGACCCACACACACAGAGACCCACACACAGAGAGACCCACACACAGAGACACATAGACTCACACAGAGACCCATAGACTCACACAGAGACCCAAAGAGAGACCCACAGACTCACACAGAGACACAGAGACCCACAAACACAGAGACCCACACACACAGAGACCCACACACATAGACTCACACAGAGACCCACAGACTCACACACATAGACTCACACAGAGACCCACAGACTCACACACATAGACTCACAGAGAGACCCACAGACTCACACAGAGACACAGAGACCCACACACACAGAGACCCACACACAGAGAGACCCACACACACAGACTCACACACAGAGACACATAGACTCACACAGAGACAGAGAGAGCCACACACAGAGACCCACACACACACACAGAGACCCACAGACTCACACACAGAAACCTAGGGACTCACACACATAGACTCACACAGAGACCCACAGACTCACACAGAGACACAGAGACCCATACACACAGACCCACACACACATAGACTCACAGAGAGACCCACAGACTCACACAGAGACACATAGACTCACACAGAGACCCACACACAGAGACAAATAGACTCACACAGAGACCCACAGACTTACACAGAGACCCACACACACAGAGACCCACACACACAGAGACCCACACACACAGACTCACACACAGAGACACATAGACTCACACAGAGACACACACAGACCCACACACACATAGACTCACAGAGAGACCCACAGACTCACACAGAGACCCATAGACTTACACAGAGACACAGAGACCCACACACACAGAGACCCACAGACTCACACAGAGACCCACACACACAGAGACCCACACACACAGAGACCCACACACACAGACTCACACACAGAGACACATAGACTCACACAGAGACACACAGAGACCCACACACACAGAGACCCACACACACAGATCCACACACACAGACTCACACACACACAGACCCACACACACAGAGACACATAGACACACACAGAGACCCACACACAGAGAGACACACACACAGACTCACACACACAGAGACTCACACACACAGAGACCCACACACACAGAGACCCACACACAGACACTCACATACACAGACTCACACACACAGAGACACATAGACACACACAGAGACCCACACACACACAGACACACACACACAGACTCACACACACAGAAACTCACACACACAGAGACCCACACACACAGAGACCCACACACACAGAGACCCACACACACACAGACTCACACACACAGAGACCCACACACACAGAGACCCACACACACAGAGACCCACACACACACACAGAGACACACACACACAGAGACCCACACACACAGAGACCCACACACACACAGACACTCACACACACAGACTCACACAGAGACACAGAGACCCACACACACAGACCCACACACACAGAGACACATAGACTCACACAGAGACCCACAGACCCACACACAGAGACCCATAGACTCACACAGAGACCCACAGACTCACACAGAGACACAGAGACCCACACACACAGAGACCCACACACACAGAGACCCACACACACACACACACAGAGACACACACACACACAGAGACCCACACACACAGAGACCCACACACACAGAGACCCACACACACAGAGACCCAAACACACACACAGACACTCACACACACAGACTCACACACACAGACTCACACAGAGACACAGAGACCCACACACACAGACCCACACACACAGAGACACATAGACTCACACAGAGACCCACAGACTCACACAGAGACACAGAGACACAGAGACCCACACACACAGAGACCCACACACACAGACTCACACACAGAGACACACACACACAGATACCCACACACACAGACTCACACAGAGATACAGAGACCCACAGACTCACACAGAGACCCACACACACAGAGACCCACACACACAGAGACCCACTCACACACAGACCCACTCACACACAGACTCACACACACAGAGACCCACACACACACAGACCCACACACACAGAGACACACACACACAGAGACCCACACACACAGAGACCCACACAGAGACCCACAGACACACACAGAGACTCACACACACAGAGACCCACACACACAGAGACCCACACACACAGACACACACACAGAGACACACACACACAGAGACCCACACACACACAGACCCACACACACAGAGACCCACACACACAGAGACCCACACACACAGAGACCCACACACACAGAGACTCACACACACAGACTCACACACAGAGACTCACACACACACACAGAGACACCCACACACACATAGACACACACAGAGACCCACACACACAGAGACCCACACAGAGACACACAGACACACACAGAGACTCACACACACACAGAGACTCACACACACAGAGACTCACACACACAGAGACACACAGACACACACAGAGACCCACACACACACACAGAGACACCCACACACACAGAGACACACACAGAGACCCACACACACAGAGACCCACACAGAGACACACAGACACACACAGAGACTCACACACACAGAGACTCACACACACACACACAGACCCACACAGAGACACACAGACACACACAGAGACCCACACACACAGACTCACACAGAGACCCACACAGAGACACACACAGACACACACACAGACTCACACACACAGACTCACACACAGAGACACACAGACACACACAGAGACTCACACACACAGAGACCCACACACACACAGAGACTCACACACAGACACTCACACACACAGACTCACACACACAGACTCACACAGAGACACAGAGACCCACACACACAGACCCACACACACAGAGACACATAGACTCACACAGAGACCCACAGACCCGCACACAGAGACCCATAGACTCACACAGAGACCCACACACACAGAGACCCACACACACAGAGAGACCCACACACACACAGAGACTCACACACACACACAGACTCACACACAGACTCACAGAGACTCACACACACACAGAGACTCACTCACTCACACACAGAGACTCACACACAGGCTACCCTCACTGCCCCTGGGGTGACCGTGCTCCGAGTCTTCGCCTGCCACTCAGCGCTGCCCTCAATTTGGCTGGCGCTGAGTGCCCCCCCCTCTCCCCTAGCCCCCCCGCCGGCACCCCCACTCCACGTGCCCCCCCCCCCGGCAGCCCCCCCCCCGCCACCCACATCTGCCAGGGGCGATGCAGCGAAGCACACGCGGGCGTTTGACGCGAACTCGATCTAATGGGAGCCGTGGGGGGCACGGTGGACGGCGAGGGGGGGGGTAGACGGGGCGGGGCAGTGGGGGGGGGGGGGGTCGTGTGGAGGACACGGCGGGGTAGATAGACGCACGCGGTGGTGGTGGTGGTGGTGGAGGTGGTGGTGGTGGTAGTGGAGGTGGTGGAGGTGGTGGAGGTGGTGGTGGTGGTGGTGGAGGTGGTGGTAGTGGAGGTGGTGGTGGTGGTGGAGGTGGTGGTAGTGGAGGTGGTAGTGGAGGTGGTGGTGGTGGTGGAGGTGGTGGTAGTGGAGGTGGTGGAGGTGGTGGCGGTGGTGGAGGTGGTAGTGGAGGTGGTGGAGGTGGTGGCGGTGGTGGAGGTGGTGGTAGTGGTGGTGGTGGCGGTGGTGGTGGTGGTGGAGGTGGTGGTAGTGGAGGTGGTGGAGGTGGTGGCGGTGGTGGAGGTGGTAGTGGAGGTGGTGGAGGTGGTGGTGGAGGTGGTGGTAGTGGTGGTGGTGGCGGTGGTGGTGGTGGCAGTGGTGGTGGTGGCAGTGGTGGTGGAAGTGGTGGTGGCGGTGGTGGTGTCGGTGGTGGTGGCAGTGGCGGTGGTGGTGGCGGTGGTGGAGGCGGTGGAGGTGGTGGCGGTGGTGGTGGAGGAGGCGGTGGTGGTGGTGGTGGTGGTGGAAGTGGTTGTGGTGGCGGTGGTGGCGGTGGCGCAGCGGTGAGCGGCGCCTTGCGACGGACCCTACGAGAAGCCCGAGTTCAACGCCCGCTCACGGTCACTGACGCCGGTGGCCGTGAGCTAAGAAGAAGAGGAAGAAGAAGAAGAAGAGGAAGAAGGAAGGAAGAGGAAGGAAGTGGAGGGAAGAAGAGGAGGAAGAAGAACGAATGAAAATGAAGAAGGATAAATAAGAAAGAAGAAGCAGCAAGAAGGAAGGATAATAAAGATGAAGAGTAAGAAGAGTGAAGGAGAAAGAATCAAGAAGAAGAAGAAGAACAACAACAACAACAACCGGGTGGCTAAAGCACAGCAGGTTGGCACAGTAGGGGGCACAGGTGGTGCATCAGCCAGTAGTCATCTCAATCATCTCAGTCAGTCGACCCGTGGCACCTGCTGGGTCTGCCCCGTGACCTCCTGCCAGCGGGCGTTCGACACTTCACGTGGCCTCGAGGTGCACGTGGCCTGGCACAAGCGCCACTTAGTGGCGAACGGCGGTTGTTGTTATTGTTGTTGTTGTCGTCGTTGTTGTTGTTGTTGTGTGTACGCGCGTGTCTCCCAGCGAGAGGGCGGCCGCGGCCGCGGCCCTCCTCACCTTGACGAAGCTGACGCTCTGCCTCCGCCGGTCGTACCAGAAGCCGTAGTCGAGCCACAGGCGAAGCAACTCGAGGGGCGGCCGCGAGCCGAAGGCGTCGCCGGCCGGCACGTTGAGGTCGTCCAGCAGCAGCAGGAGGCGGCGGCCTCCCGGGGGGACGAGGACCCCCTTGGTGCGCTTCTCCACGCGGCCCTCCACCGCCGCCTGCACGTCGCCCGGCGACGTCTGGCGGGGGAGGAGGTGGAGGAGGAGGAGGAGGAGGTGGAGGTGGAGGAGGAAGAGGTGGAGGAAGAGGTGGAGGAGGCTCACAGACAGCGGTCGGTCATCACCAAACCCTACTAGCTGGCAGACTGGTGCGGAGAGACAGCTGCCGCTGGGGGTGCGCCCTAGGTGTGGTGGAGCGGTGGTGGTGGTGGTGTGGTGGTGGTATGGTGGGGTGGTGGTGGTGTGGTGGTGTGGTGGTGGTGGTGTGGTGAGGTGGTGGTGTGGTGAGGCGGTGGTGTGGTGGTGTGGTGGTGTGGTGGTGGTGGGTGGGGTGGTGGTGTGGTGGTGGTAGGTGGTGGTGTGGTGAGGTGGTGATGTGGTGGTGGGGTGGTAGGTGGTGGTGTGGTGGTGGTGTGGTGAGGTGGTGGTGTGGTGGTGTGGTGGTGTGGTGGTGGTAGATGGTGGTGTGGTGAGGTGGTGATGTGGTGGTGGGGTGGTAGGTGGTGGTGTGGTGTGGTGGTGGTGTGGTGTGGTGGTGGTGTGGTGGTGTGGTGGTGTGGTGGTGTGGTGAGGTGGTGATGTGGTGGTGGGGTGGTAGGTGGTGGTGTGGTGGTGGTGTGGTGAGGTGGTGTGGTGAGGTGGTGTGGTGAGGTGGTGTGGTGGGTGGTGGTGAGGTGGTAGGTGGTGGTGTGGTGGAGTTGTGGGGTGGTGTAATAAAAAACGGCAGTGGTCCACATCATTCCATCTCTTTCCACCTCTCCACCCACCAACCCCCCACCCACCAACCCCCCACCCACCAACCCCCACCCACCAACTCCCCCCCCCACCCACCAACCCCCACCCACCACCCACCCCCTCCTCTGTCTCACTGATATTGAAAATTGAAGATGCGGCCACAACTCCGCAGACGACGCACCTATACAAAGGTCCCCCGCGTAGTCTCTGACTGTCTTGGGGGCAAGAGCTGTTAAACGAGCAGCAGCAGCAGCAGCAGCAGCGCCTGTGGTAGCCAGCAGCACCACCACATCGCTGGTACCGCTCATCGGCAAGTCCACCAACCCCGCACCCCCCCCCCCCATACTACACACACAAAGATAAAGGTCCCCCCGTGTAGCCTGCAACAGACTGTAGGGGCAAGTGCTGTTAGCAAACTCCTACGAAGATTGGGACTGTGGCACGCCAGGAGGGAGTGGGGGTGACCAGCAGCACCACCACATCGCTGGTACCGCTCATCGGCAAGTCCACCAACCCCACACACACACACACACAAAGATAAAGGTCCCCCGTGTAGCCTCTACAGACTGTAGGGGCAAGTGCTGTTAGTAGCGAGTAGCAGCAGCTATGAAGGTAGACACAGACAAAGGTCCCCCGTGTAGCCTCTAACAGGCTGTAGGGGCAAGTGCTGTTAGTAGCGAGTAGCAGCAGCTATGAAGGTAGACACAGACAAAGGTCCCCCCGTGTAGCCTCTACAGACTGTAGGGGCAAGTGCTGTTAGTAGCGAGTAGCAGCAGCTATGAAGGTAGACACAGACAAAGGTCCCCCGTGTAGCCTCTACAGACTGTAGGGGCAAGTGCTGTTAGTAGCGAGTAGCAGCAGCTATGAAGGTAGACACAGACAAAGGTCCCCCGTGTAGCCTCTACAGACTGTAGGGGCAAGTGCTGTTAGTAGCGAGTAGCAGCAGCACCTATGAAGGTAGACACAGACAAAGGTCCCCCGTGTAGCCTCTACAGGCTGTAGGGGCAAGTGCTGTTAGTAGCGAGTAGCAGCAGCAACTATGAAGGTAGACACAGACAAAGGTCCCCCGTGTAGCCTCTACAGGCTGTAGGGGCAAGTGCTGTTAGTAGCGAGTAGCAGCAGCTATGAAGGTAGACACAGACAAAGGTCCCCCCGTGTAGCCTGCAACAGACAGGTTGGGGCAAGTGCTGTTCAGCGAACAGCAGCGCCCTATGAAGGCGTCCCGAGTTCGATTCCCACTCACGGCCACCACCTAGGGCCGGTGACGATCGTCTGAAATCGGTCCTGGGCCTCCCCCCTGGGTCGACTCAGCCTCAAGTGAGTGACCCCAGGTAGCTAGAGGGAGAGCGAAAGAGAGTGAGCGAGAGAGTGAGCGAGAGAGCGACATGGAGTAGGAAGAGAGGGGGTAGAGAGAGGGGGGTAGAGAGAGAGAGGGAAAGAGGTAAGGCGAGCAGAGCGAGAAATATTTTGTTAAATCTTTCATTTAAAAAAGTGTGGGGTTTACATAAAGCAAAGCATTGGAAAAAAACGCCGAAATGATGAACGAATCCAAGTGCCTGCTACACCGAGCGTCTTCTCGTTCCCCTCTGATCGTGAAAAACAAAGAGAGTGGGGGAGAGCGAGAGGGAGAGTGGGAGGGAGGGGGGGGCACACAGAGGGAGGGAGGGGGGGGGGGTGGGAGACCCCCGTGCAGTCACCAGACATTAGGTCCGTTTCAGAGGCAGTGACCTGGAAGTCACCACGGAGCCGACTACAGCCTCAGCTGTCACAGCCAATCAGCGTCGTGAGCCCCCCCCCCCCTCCCCGGTCTCCAGAGGGGGAGGGGGCGGTGGGGGGTAGAGGGAGGGGGGGGGGATTGGGGGACTGCGGGAGACAGACGCAAGGATAGGCAATGCCACAGCAAGGCAGGCGGACTGACAGACTGACAGACAGACTGACTGATAGACAGACTGATAGACAGACTGATAGACAGACTGACTGATAGACAGACAGGCGGACTGACAGACTAACAGACAGACTGACAGACAGACTGATAGACAGACTGACAGGGAGACTGACTGATAGACAGACAGGCAGACTGACAGACAGACTGACAGATTGAAAGACAGACTGACAGACAGACTGACTGACAGACTGATAGACAGACTGATAGACAGACTGACAGGCAGACTGACTGATAGACAGACAGGCAGACTGACTGATAGACAGACAGGCAAACTGACAGACAGACTGACAGATTGAAAGACAGACTGACAGACAGACAGACTGACTGATAGACAGACAGACAGACAGACTTACAGACAGACAGACAGACTGACTGACAGACTGACAGACAGACTGACAGACAGACTGATAGACAGACTGACAGGCAGACTGACTGATAGACAGACAGGCAGACTGACAGACTGACAGATTGACAGACAGACTGCCAGAAGACTGATAGACAGACTGATAGACAGACTGATAGACAGACTGACAGGCAGACTGACTGATAGACAGGCAGACTGACTGATAGACAGACAGGCAAACTGACAGACAGACTGACAGATTGACAGACAGACAGACTGACTGACAGACTGACAGACAGACTGATAGACAGACTGACAGGCAGACTGACTGATAGACAGACAGGCAGACTGACTGATAGACAGACAGGCGGACTGACAGACAGACTGACAGATTGACAGACAGACTGACAGACAGACTGATAGACAGACTGACAGGCAGACTGACTGATAGACAGACAGGCAGACTGACAGACAGACTGACAGATTGACAGACAGACTGACAGACTGACAGACAGACTGAAAGACTGACAGACTGACTGACTGATAGTCTGTGTGGCACAAGCGTCGTGGTGACGTCACCGCCACTTAATGGCTAATGGCGGTTGTTGTTGTTGTTGCGTGTGTGTGTGTATGTCTGTGTGCGTGTGTGTGTGGAGCATTTTCACCGGTTGGAAACATTTAGGCTGGCCTGCCTACGATCCATCCTGGGTTTAACCAGACTGGATTGTGTGAGGAGCTCACAAATCCTTGAATGCCCAGCCACCGCATGCCGAAACAGCTTTTGTTCGGCCGGATCGAGGGGGCTAAGCGGGCGCGGCACGGGCTAGAGAAGAGATGGAGATATGTGGTACAGGAGGACGTGGAGCTGAGTGGACTTGCCGATGACTGGTACCAGCGGTGTCAAGATCGGCCTCTGTGGAGGAGGCTCGTGAAGGACGCTGCTACTGGGCAGTTGGAGGCAGTCGCCCTCCAACAACAACGGAGGGCGGAGGAGCGACGCTCACAACAACGAGCGGAGCGCCGGGTGAAGGAAGAAAAGTAAAGATGAAGAGTAAGAAGAGTGAAGGAAGAAGTCAGAAGAATGACGAAGGAGGAAGAAGAGGAAGAAGGAATACAGAGAAAGACTCAAGAAGAAGAGTGGAAGAAGAACAACAACAACAACCGGGTGGCTAAAGCACAGCAGGTTGGCACAGTAGGGGGCACAGGTGGTGCATCAGCCAGTCATCTCAGTCAGTCGACCCGTGGCACTTGGGTCTGCCCCGTGACCTCCTGCCAGCGGGCGTTCGACACTTCACGTGGCCTCAGGGTGCACATGGCCTGGCACAAGCGTCGTGGTGACGTCACTGCCACTTAGTGGCGAATGGCGGGTGTTGTTGTTGTTGTTGTTGTCTGTGTGTCCCAGTGTACCCTCCCTTGGAGCCGATGAAACCCCATGGGGCAGCACGGCTTGGCGTCGAGATTAAGGACAGAGGGTGACGGTGGGAGGGAGGAGAGGGAGGAGAGGGAGGGAGGTGATGGAGGGATGGGAGGGAGGGGAGGGAGGAGAGGGAGGAGAGGGAGGGAGGGAGGAGAGGGAGGGAGGAGAGGGAGGGAGGAGAGGGAGGAGAGGGATGGATGAGAGGGAGGGAGAAGGGAGGAGAGGGAGGGGAGGGAGGGAGGTGATGGAGGGATGGGAGGGAGGGAGGAGAGGGATGGAGGAGAGGGAGGGAGGGAGGGAGGGGAGGGAGGGAGGAGAGGGAGGGAGGGAGGAGAGGGAGGAGAGGGATGGAGGAGATGGAGGGAGGGGAGGGAGGAGAGGGAGGGGAGGGAGGAGATGGAGGGGAGGGAGGGAGGGGAGGGAGGGAAGGGAGGGAGAGGGAGGAGATGGAGGAGATGGAGGGAGGGGAGGGGGGAGAGGGAGGAGATGGAGGGAGGGGAGGAGAGGGAGGGAGGAGAGGGAGGAGATGGAGGGAGGGGAGGAGAGGGAGGGAGGAGAGGGAGGAGATGGAGGGAGGGGAT